GCACAATGGCGAAGTGTCGTGTTGGAAGGTAGTATGTCCAAAGTAAATACGGAAAAAGTTAGTAGATCACATAATTATGATAAAAGTAGACTATTTTGAATAAAAACGAGGGGGAATAGAATGGCAAACACTTACCGTAAGTTTACATAGATTGGTAAGAAAATGGCAATTTAGAAATAAAAATAACACTTTATGAATTTTGTGAATTTCCGAAGTGAAGGTCATATCTTGATTAATCCTCACCATCGATAATTAACCCTAAATAGTTGATAGTCAGGGAAGTATAGACACTTAGAAAGGTTGAGATTTATATGATCAGGGTTTTCCTTGACGGTTTTCATTGATTAACATGATCATTATTTATGAAAAACATTTGTGATAGAAATATAACGATTCGGCGTCGTCTATTTTTTTCGGGTTTTCTTCCTGATCAGTCAACACTTGACTTTTATCATTGAACGCGTCACACGTCCGATTTTGACAGAAAATCAATAATCAACTGTAGTTGTTAGCTATCGGCAATAAACTAATCCATAACAGGAGTTAACTAAAATTATGTGGTCAAATGGCTTCACGTGTCATTTCAGTTAGATGTTTTTACAACTTTTAGGTTAAAAAAAGAACACATGTTGAAGAAAGTGAAATAACAATAATACCGAACTTCAAGGAAAATTGAACGGAAAGTGCCTTATCAAATGGCAAAATAAAAAACTCAAACACATCAAACGAATGGAAAACAACTGTCATATTCCTGACTTGGTACAGGCATTTCTGTAAGTAGAAAATGGTGGATTAAACCTGGTTTTATAGCTGGCTAAACCTCTCACTTGTTTGACAGTCGCATATAATTCCATTATATTGACAGCAATGTGTGAACAAAACAGACAGACATAATAGGAAAAAATGTCAAAATTAAGGGTGCAGTAGTCAACATTATAATCTAAATCACTATAAAAACCAACAAATAGGTCAACAAAGAAAATCAAAATGGCATATAGACAAGGCACATAAGCAAAAATGAAAAACACGAATACAAAAATGACCATAGCACAATAACACATTGGCGGAATGTATAAGTACCGAGCCAAGCCAAAAGGATATTACAAAAAACGGACTAAACAGTAAAGGTAGATAATTTACAAAGACAAATAAAGGAACACCATAACACGTAATTAAGATGATAAACAACGTCAGTACCTATAATGTATCCTTCAAAACCATAATGTATTATTTGTGAAGTTGATACGGAATATTTATCAATAAGGTCTTTGTATCTTCCGATGAACTGTTTTAGAAAAAAAAGAGACGTTCTTTTACATTATCCTGATTCATCAACTTTCTGCTCAGACACTGGTGACGTTTTGTAAAGTCTGAGTAGCAGCTGGAAGCTCTTGAATACCGAATGAGTTAGGAAATGTATAGTGAAGGTGAAGTTGGTATATTGCTACTAAGGTGGGGGAAATTGAAAATTTCAAAATTAAAATCGTCTCGTTTGTCATAGATTCTGGTACTGAGATGACCGTTTATGTCAAATTCGAAGTATAAGTCTAAAAATGTGGCGGAGGAAGCCGTGTCTGTTGTTTCTTTAATTTTTAATTCTGGAGGATATAGTTATGGAACCTAATCAGAAAATTGGATAGTAAATAGTAAGAAACTAGATACTTCATAATCTTTTAACGATCGGCTTGAAAAAAAACTGAAATTTTTAAAGAACAACAAAGATATAACAAAATAAAACCTGATTTATTTATTAATCTTCCAACTAGACGGGAAGTGTCAGACAAAATTATTGAAGATAAATCCCGACCTGTTGATGTTTAGGATACAACTTTAATAACTGGAATTCCGGAAAATAACAAAATAAATCCAAGCTGATAAATATACTTAGTGTGGACTAGCTGTTTTCTTGCCTTTGCAGTGATTTTTACAGTATCTATGAAGGAAATAACTCACTATTCTGATTAACTGTTCTTTTATAAAAATGTTGATGTTAAATAGAGGTGTGTGAGTTGTGTTTATTAAACGACGACGCTGCAAATTAAAGTAGGCAAACACATTGAAAGTGTCGAAAAATAACATGTTTTCGCCGACCATAAAATAACATAGAAAACATTGTTTATCATAGCCTAGACTCTTAAATATTGAAATCTACATCAATATGTATGTTTATATAATTTTTAACCAAAAATATATAATTAAGATTTGTATGATTATTTTCACATTTGAATAAACGCAATCGACTGTTGCGTACTTTTTTAAGCCTAGAAAACTATTGTTATTTTTGGCTTTAGTTGCATTTGAACACAATTGCATATAATTTTAAAACTGAGAACTAATAAGCTGAGACCTGAAAAATGCTGCACACTCAACGTATAGGTAGCGGGGCTTAAGATTTAATGTAATAGATGATTGTTGTTTAAGTACGTAGTCGATACATTGATTGCATTCTTTGTCAATAGAGACGTAATCCTATCTTTATTTTACACAGTTAGCAACCAATCCACCATGTCCAAAAATAAAACAGACTGGACAATGTCTCGGTTTACCCAAAAAGGATAAATGCCAAACAGACGCTACATGTAGATTATGTAAGATTATTAAAGATTTTAAATTCTTCAAATTGTTTTAAAATTATTTTAGGTACCTGAGGTGTCTAAATGTTCGACGATAGATTTTTTTTTAATGCAGGAGTTGTTACACGCTAGAATTAGTTAAAATTCATCGAGTGAATTGCTATTCATAAATAAATCCGAAATATGAAATAAAATTAGAGGTCGCGGTCCGTGTTTAAAAGGATTTTGTTTTCTGAAAACTTTAATTACACTTAATGGCACTTATTTTAATCTAGTTTCTATAATACATTGAATGATACTTGGCATAGTATTTGTAACCCAAAAAATCATGTTTGCAACATGACAAGAAGAGATGCTCAGAAAAAGACATCAGATCTACCTTAAATTTAACAGAATTAAACAACTAAACACTAAGCCTTGTTATGTTCAAGTTTTTCCAAAATTAAAGATTTTAAACCCCGATTAATATGCAAAAAAGTAATTTAGAATGTATTTTTTTCACATGTGAAAACAGTGACAAAACTATATCAAATATAACACACAAAAATTAACAACAACAACTGAATAACAGGTTCCTGACAACTTTCACAAAAATCTACCTACACCACCTGACAAACAAGGAGTCACATGTACATAAACATAATGTTTAAACAAAACATTGTGTTGTCCATGGTTGATTTGTATACAATTCATTTACATTAATAAAATCAAGAATCCTGAAGCTTCCCTTTAAAATGCCATTTATATGATAGCCGGTAACTTAAATATATTACCGTACACCAGACTTATCTATCCATGTTCCACTTATTTGTACAATCTGTTACACATGTTCTAGCCCGTGTATACTTGATGTATTACTCATCAGTGTAACCGCCATTTCTTTTTAACATTACTTTATTGAATAATTAAATTAGATACGTTTTAATATTCATGTTTAACAAGCCTTTTAAGGTTCCACTAAAGTCAAAATATAGGACACTTCATTAACATCTAAACTTTGCCTGTATTTTTCAACCTATAATGAGTAAAGTCCTAAACTATGAGAACATATGTTCATTTAAACATACTTAACATAAACACACTGTGTAAATTGTAAATAGACTTGAAATTGTTATGCTGTGGCCAAACCGGTTCTTGGGGTGAACAGTAATTTTTCAAAAAAGTCTGGAGGCCTGCGAGACGACTTAATTTGCTTGAAATTGGTATGAACGAATACTGTTACATGTAATGCAGGGCACGCGCATGTTGATTTGTCACATACATATGTTTTAATGGCATATTTGTCCAATTTCTGTATTGTAACTTCGATATTTGTTCACCTAGATACATAACATTAACTGAAACTCGAAAATCAATACATTTTCTGAAAAATTAACATGAGCTTGCCCTGCATTAGATATAACAGTATTCGTCCATACCAATTTTAAACAAATTAAGTCGTCTCGCAGGCCTCCAGATTTTTTGAAAGTTTAGTGTCCACCCCAAGAACCGGTTTGGCCACAACATAACAATTTCAAGTTTATTTACAATTTACACAGTGTGTATATGTTAAGTATGTTTAAATGAACATATGTTCTCATAGTTTCGGACTTTACTCATTATACACAGGCAAATTTTGTTCACGTGAATTTCACGTGAGTCTCATTTCACGTGAAAGTCACGTAAAATTCACGTGAGTTTCACATGAATTTCACGTGAATTTTTGCTCACGTGAATATCACGTGAATTTTTCATGTGAATTTCACGTGAACAGTTTTCACGTGAAATTCACATGAAATTCACGTGAAACTCACATGATCTGACTTACGTGAATTTAACGTGAACTTGTTAACGTGAAACTCATGTGAAATTCATGTGAATTTCACATAAACTTTTTTTCACGTGAAATTCACGTTTGCTCACTCACGTGAAATTCACGTGATTTCACTCACATAAATTTCACGTGATCTGACTCACGTGAATTTCACATGACCTAACTCACATGAAATTCACATGAAATTCATATGATCTGACTGAGGCTAATTTTATATATAATGTGCTTACAGATATAATGTATGTGCCTGTCCCAAGTCAGGAGCCTGTAATTCAGTGGTTGTCGTTTGTTTATGTGTTACATATTGGTTTTTTGTTCATTTTTTAATATAAATAAGGCCGTTAGTTGTCTCGTTTGAATTGTTTTACATTGTCATTTCGGGGCCTTTTATAGCTGACTATGCGGTATGGGCTTTGCTCATTGTTGAAGGCCGTACGTTGACCTATAGTTGTTAATTGCTGTGTTATTTTGGTCTCTTGTGGAGAGTTGTCTCATTGGCAATCATACCACATCTTCTTTTGTACATTTACAGTTTAAAATAATTAAGTGTATGCACTAATTATTGCCATTTTGACATAATCAACCAAAAAGTAAAAATAATTATTGAAGAAGAATTAGAATAAGAATATAAATATTTTACTGGTTTGAAATACAAAAATTCACAAATGCTAACCAAATTTCACAATGAATATTTTAAACACATTCACAGGACAATATTTTTACTAGCACTTGTATGTATGACTATATATCCCCTTTAAAATCTTATGGTAAAAAAGATACTTTTTTAACATTAATATTTTGTTAATGTTTTTAGTGGTCTCACTCTGAGGTACATATACAACAAAATGATTAATTATGAAAACAAAGCATTTCTAGTTTTGTACATATTACAAATGGATTTAACAATGATTCTAATTATTTCAACATCTCTATCTACAAATCAAACCAAGAATTATCCTTGTACAAAAATATACAAATTTGAATACAACTTTATCAGTCTCATTTATAAAATACAGAACTATTTTCAATGCATTTTGTACATATAATTGTGAAATGAATTCAGTAGCAAATTCTTATTTGTAATTGTTTTTAAGCTGGATTGGAAGGGGGTGATCTTAATTAAAATTGTTAGGAATTTTTAATAATTTGTCAAAATGTAGTTTATTTGTTTTTGTCCATTATATACTCACACAACAGGTTTTGAAAAATTGTCAGATTTTGTACAGATTATGCATGGAAAATCCAATTGCTTGTGAAAAGAAAACTACACTACAGAATTTTAAAATAAGATGTGAGAGGATAGCTCTAATAATTAACATGCTTTCAGATAATAAAAAGAAAAAAATTGGGTCACCAGACTTGTTTTCTTGCTACATATTAACATAGGTAAATGCACAACACTTTCAATTTTAATGAATCACTTTATCTGAGTTATCTCCCCTTGTGTGACAAAATTGAAAAAGTATGAATCAAACAAACATAATGTTGGTGTATTTTTTTCATAAAAAATACACCCAAAATATAATAAAACACACAATTTTCTATATTAACATTGAAAAGTCTTACACATAAATTACATACTACTTTAAAACTTTGCTCATTTCATTAAAGATCTAGATCAATAGTTATCTGCTACTTCAAAATACAAGATGGAGAAGGACAGCCACCTTAAATCATCTATGAATTCTTACCTTATTACAGATAATTGAATCAATATAACAATAAACATTTTATTTCCAATATTTCCAATATCTATCATTAAGTATAGTATATATTGCATGTATACAATAGACTGAAGTTACTGTCTATAAAAAATTGTTTTGATTTTCCAAAAAAACATGTAAAAAATTAAGCTAATGACTCTTAATTTGTTATTGCAAACCCACTGCCTACTTGCAACATGTGCAAACTTTAATTATATATGTCTCTTAAGTAAACAATTAAAGTCAATTTTTACATGCAACCAAAAGCCAATAGACAATTTCAGGGCTTCTATTTATTAAAACAGGATACATACCAAGTTCAGCCAATGCTGTTAAATTGACAAGAGGGACAGTTTAAGTCTTAAAAAGTTAATCTGCGGAAGAGTCTCTGCTAACAGTTTTGAATGACTTCTTAAAATTAATTATTTACTTAATTATTTATTTAAATGCTTTATCAATTACAGTTTTAAGGGTTAAAAGATGATCACTAGTATGACTAATGTGATTGTTTCCAAGATATTTTTCTTAATAAACTATTATATAAAACTTTCCTACAGCATTTTGAAAGGGATATTACTGGGTGATAAGGAGGATCATTGAAACAACCCAACCTGAAAAATGGGATAAATAATTAATGCGATTAAAGGAAAAAAAGCTTACAAATATATATGTCAGATTTCAGATGGGGAGTTCAAATACAGCTGTTATTCAGTGGTTGTCGTTTGCTGATGTGTTACATTTTTATTTTCATTCATTATTCTTTAATATCCTATTCACACAATACATGACTGTACATGAAGGTATTTACTTTGCTCATTGTTGAAGGCTGTACGGTGACCTACAGTTGTTAATGTCAGTGTCACTTGGTCTCTTGTGAAGAGTTGTCCTTTTGGCAGTCATACCACATCTTCTTTTTTATAATTAATTCTGATTTGGTACTGCATGTTGTTCTAAAGAGCCAAATTTAAAAAAACAAATTTATCCACAGAATGTGTTAATCTGTATTTGTTGATGATATATACATTATGCTGTGTAGAGTGTTTTAGGTATGTTCTTTTGACACTTCTGTATTCCTGTTCTATTCTTTTGGTTACATTTCCTTCCTTCAGATGGCAATTTCCTCCTTTACAGTCATGTACTGTGTGAATTAATGATTGCAATTTAACTAGTTTTACAAAATATGTTGTCTCGGTTGTAGTTACATATTGCAGTCTTTGATTACTATGATGAACTGGAATCACCTTCTGGATAAAAACAACCGGGTGACAATTTCCCTTCCACATCAACCTCAGAAATTTTGTAACTTTTCCAATTTTAGCCTGTGAAATAAAATTAAACATTAGTTATTAAAAAAACAACAATATAATCTGTCTGAATGATAACAGGCTCATGCTTTCAAAACAGATATACATCAGTGATAATATGACTACAATCTGCTCTTAACAAATGTGATTATACATATATGAATAGATTGAAAAATAGTTCAACACTGATTGATACCCAAGCCAAAATAAATTGCAGATATACAGACAAACTGTTCACATGATTGCAGTTGTTCTAAAAATTTACTTATGGCCATGTTAAAATGAATCAATGTTGAATGTGCTCAGACAGTAATTAATGAAATCACTTTTTCCTATTTTGGGTGAAAAGGATCTTTAAAATGAATATCCCAGTCTGTATTTGTTGAACCTTTAAATTCGTGTACAGTATGTAACAGTTGGAATAAATGAATACAGTAAATACATAATGGAATTTTAGACACAATTATGGATTATGGGAAATACTGAATAATGTTTCACAAAAAAACATAATAATGAGACCTGAAGCCCCAGTTTGGGTGCTGGGTTTTCTCATAGTGTTGAAGACCCATTGGTGGCTTTCGGCTGTTATCTGCTCTGTGGTCAGGTTGTTAACCCTTTGACATATTCCACATTTCCATTCTCAATTCTAATCATTACAGAATATGTAAAATAAAATTTGGACAATTTTATAGCTGACTAGCTATGGGGTATATGGGGTATGGGCTTTGCTCATTGTTGAGGGCAGTACGGGGAGCTATAGTTGTTAATTTCTGTGTCTTTTGGTCTCTTGTGAAGAGTTGTCGCATTGGCAATCATACCACATCTTCTTTTTATATGTACAAATTATAACTAAAAATGTTAGATAAAAGTATGATATACATAAAGTTATACTTGTGTAAATTATTATGGTATTTATGTCTCGTAGCGATATGGTGTGCACACTATTTCAAAATGATGGATAAAGCTGTACAACATTATTATTTTTTTAATTGCTTGTGATTAAACTTTTTTTTTATTCTAAATATTAGAGTGATTTTGATGAAGCTACCGGTCTGAGAGATTTTAAAAGGTTCAACAGAGTTGCACACAAAGTAAAGTTTTATACATACGTTTTCTTCTTCATCAAGGTATAAAACGAAACTTCCAATTCTTGCATTTTCGCCCAGTTTGGTTGTGCCCTTTGAAAACTCCTGCACTGTGAGATCTTTGCTGCTAATAATATTTGGACTTCCACCACAATTCAAAATGGCCTGTAGGACTTGTACTTCTATGTACACTAGGTCATCAACACTCTTCAATAAAGAAAATGAGCAAATATATAAAGTTTATTTCAAATAGTCTAAAACCATGGGACAAGGTGAATCTACATTTTATATAACATTTGTATGATTTCAATAATACATGATTCTGTTTTTACTGTATGAATACATAGTTCGGCACACATAATACTAAATGCTTAAAGTATATATGTATTGCTTTTATTGGTGCTATTGTGGGGTAGTACCTGCTGCAATAAATATCTTGTGATGAGCTCTGGTTGTCTTTTTATGTATAACATATGACAGCTTAATCAGCATTGCCAAATTCTTGCTCTTTATCATTACAGGTGACAGAACTTTAGGAAATATCAAATCGTCAAATATTTCCATACACAAAACATAGTTACTAAGACACCCAGTAAAATAATAAAAACCAATAAAACACAAAATTTTCTACTATTGTTGTGAAAAATCAAAATCAAACGTTTAACTTATACATATCAAAAACTTTACAGATCTTTACAAAATCTAGATTTTATTACAGTTAAGACTTTCTCACAAAAACTTTACAGATCTTTACAAAATCTAGATTTCATTACAGTTAAGACTTTCTCACAGTCAAACCCACAAGATATTGTGAAATTATACTGAAAACATGAAACAGAAAAATTGAAAAACTGAAACATATTCAAGTACTCACCATCTTTTTATTGACAATGTTTTTTAGAAGTCCTGCTCCTTTATCATGGTTATTCGGCATTCCTAAAAACTTCAATAATTTGCCGTCCTTCCCATAGCTAATCACCAAATCAGAAGCACAACTCCTTCAAAAAAAATTACAATGTGTATGATTTCCAGATTAAGTTTATACATTGACCTATAATTATTCAAAGATTTTATTGTAGTTATTATCATTATGCTCCTTATAAAGTTACTTTTCCTGGTTGTGCCAACAGATTATTTTACATTAATACTGCCGATTCCAAGACATTTGAGACCATTTTGTATTAAAACAAATAGTAATGTCATTTGCCACTTTTTTTTACTTTCAAGTTCCTAAACTGATGAAACCAGAGGCTCTTTTTTGACAAATTTTGGAACTGAAACAGTGATTTTCTGCAACAACCATTTTTTTTAAATTGAGTAATCAGAGACTGTTATAAGAGTTGATAGAAAGGTATTTGGTGAAGCTTTTTGAAATTTTCTATACCATGATAACAGTGACTTTGTGGGGCTCATCAGAGGTCAGGATTGATATTAAAGTTATCAATGACAATATATAACTGCTGACATTGTCTTGGATTAGTATAACACCCCAAGATTTCAAGGACAGATCTTAAAGTCATATGAAACCTATGAAATATGAAATATTCATATGTTTTTTATAACTAAATGAATAGTTTTCATTAAACAACTTATGTACATATACTTTTTTCTGAGGAAAATTCTTTAATTTGTTCACATTTAGAAGAAGTTTACTTATTTTTAATTGCTTGCTTCCAGGAAGCAATTCGCCGACATATTTTCCGTATGCATAGTGACCTTAGCATGACCCTCCTCGTAAAAATGCAGTGATCGCAATACGCATGGATCTATCATTAAAATAAACAATTATCTGATTGTACATGTTAAACACCTGCTCAATACCCATGCTTTTTGTTGATTGTTTACTATAAGATGACAATCGGTAAACTTCGGCTTTAAAACACAGCATTTAATGAGCAACCGTATTTGTTAAATCATAACAGACAGAAAGAAAAAAAATGACGATTATACGATATATTTGCGTAAACAAGAGTGCACACGCTGAAATGTCTCGCCTTCTTTACTAACCATTGATATTATGTTGATAGTCCTAAATATTGAGCTTTACTACAACTATCAACCTTACATGCATTCAATACACTAAATATAGTTGACCTATTGCTTATAGTTTCTAAGAAACAGACTTAACCAAGAAAACTAAACATTGACCAATGAACTATGAAAATGAGGTCAAGGTCAGATGAACCATGCAAGGCAGACATATACACCTTACAATCAACCTATGCATTAAATATACTTGACCTATTGCTTATAGTATCCAAGAAACAAACTTAACCATGAAAACTTAACATTGACCAATGAACCAACAAAATGAGGTCAAGGTCAGATGATACCTGCCAGACAGACATATACAGCTTACAATCCTATACAAAAAATATAGTTGACCTATTGCTTATAGTTTAAGAAGAACAGACCAAAACACAAAAACTTAACACTGAGCAATGAACCGTGAAAATGAGGTCAAGGTCAAATAAAGCCTGCGAGACTGACATGTGCATCATAAAATATTTCCATACACCAAATATAGTTGACCTATTGCATATAGTATTAGAAAAAAAGACCAAAACTCAAAAACTTAACATTGACCACTGAAACATGAAAATGAGGTCAAGTTCAGATGACACCTGCCAGTTGGACATGTACACCTTGCAATCATTCCATACACCAAATATAGTAGACCTATTGCATACAGTATAAGAAAAACAGACCAAAACACAAAAACTTAACATTGACCAATGAACCATGAAAATAGGTCAAGGACAAATGACACCTGCCAGACAGACATGTACACCTTACAATCATTCCATACACCAAATTTGTTTGACCAATGGCTTATAGTATTAGAAAAACAGACCAAAATACAAAAACTTAACATTGACCAATGAACCGTGAAAATGAGGTCAAGGTCAGATGAAACCTGCCAGACTGACATGTATCCCTTATAATCATTCCATACACCACATATAGCTGACCTACTGCTTGTAGTATCTGAGAAACGGACCTAACCACGTAACTTTAACCTTGATCACTGATCTATGAAATGAGGCTGAGGTCAGGTGAACCCTGTCTGATGGACATGTAGACGTTGCAAGGAACCCATATACCAAATATAGTTATCTTATTACTCATAATAAGTGAGAAATTTACATAACAAAAAAACTAAACTTTTTTTTCAAGCAGTCGCTGAACCATGAAAATAAGGTCAAGGACATTGGACATATGACAGACGGAAAGTTCGTAACATAAGGTATCTGCATACAAAGTATGAAGCATCCAGGTCTTCTACCTTCTGAAATATAAAGCTTTATACAAATAGTTTACGCAGTAGTCGCCGCCGTCGCCGTATAGTAATACCTATGTCTCACTTTCTGCGACTTTCGTCGCAGGCGAGACAAAAATGATAAAATCGTGCATAGAGGACTAAGTTTATGATATATTCATGCATTGGTTTAAGAATTGGATAAACATTATTTTTCACCAGTCACTCGTTTCATATGACTTTAAAATACATATAGAATAATGGCATTTTTATTGCCACTCTGTCTGTCTTAAATGTATGTTTTTATTGTAAAAAATATGAAGTAAAATGAAATAATAAGTAAAACTATTTTTATGCGTACAAAATGTTGGGCTTCGTTGTTTGTCTGTATGAATGAAGTCGCATGCATTTTATTTATAAATTGAAGCGGACAAGATAATGTGACTTTACTGCACTGATGCATGACGTTATTGCCCAGTACTTTCGAGTATCAAGTCCTGTCCTTGATATTATAAATATTAGGTAGTAAGATCAAAGGAAAAATGTGCTAATTGTCGATAAAATTTCATCCAACAAATTATATCATGAGTTTATAGAACAACAAATTGTTTTTTATCTTGTTTTTGTTTGGAATTATTCAATCTATTATTCTATTACCATTTCGTAGAATTTAGAAAAAATCCTCCAGCAATCACATGTGACATCAACTCATTGTTGGCAAACTGACTGGCTGTATCCCTTGACCTGGCATGGCCATTTTGGTGTGCGATACTGCTTCTTATTGTCTTATGGTTTTTTTCAAAACTGTCCTCTGTATAATGGAGTAAGTGGCCATGTCTGTCCATGTCATCAGCCTTTGAAAGACAGCAATTTTTTTGAAAAAGTTAGTCTTTTTAAGGTGGTACCTAACACTACAGGGAGATAACTCTGTAAAAATCAGCTAAACGTTTTAATTACGTTGTATTGTTAAGGAAATATTAAGCTTCTCAATGATCAAAATTAGTGTTTGTCAAACTGCTATATAACCAATGAAATTTTTCTGATAAAGTGGTTGGTTCAAATTTTTTGAAATTTTTATATTTTTGTCAAAGGGTCAAAGTAAACATTTTGTAAAAATTTTATGAAAATTAAACGAGCCAAATTAATATTAGTCAAGGTGTTGGGTACCACCTTAATACACACTTGAAAATACACACCATACAAACTATACTAACTGGGAAACATTCAGGAAGTTGTAAATGAGACGTAATAATCTTTTATTTATTTATGATGTCTTCCTCACTCTGACTATATGGTGACCTTTAGAAAACAACTAACATTCTAGGGGATAATATATATTTATCATATACTTAGCATTAATATGATAGCTTTTGAATATGTGTAATGAGCTTTCAATGGTATCAATATAGATAAAAAGAAGATTTTCATGCTCAAAATGTGACTATCTTGTTTATTTTTTAAGAAATTACAAACCCCCCAAAAAAAATCAGATTTGAAAATGGTGGCTTTCTTATTTACAGACTGGTAGAACCTGAAATCTGACCTCTCAAAATATTTGTCAATGTCCAATGAAATTTATCGTTGAAACTAATTGCAATGAAATAATGGATTTAAAAAGCAGAAAAAAAAATAAGGGTCTCAACGTCTGTGCGCTTGTTTTGGAGAAATAAGCCATTGAAAATTTGTTTGAAAATAATGGAAAAAAAAGTTAGGGAAAGGGAATATTTTTTTAAGGGTATAACATGGATAAAACCAGAAGATTACAAAAATATCATAAACAAGTGGATCAAATACCTTAAAAAAAATTATTATTTACCAAATGAACACAAAGATGGGTCTTTCTTTTTGTGCCGATTTCTGGTACGTTTTCCTGTATCAATTGGAAATAACCTTCAAACTCTGATTTGATTTTTTGCACACAACATCCTTGCAAAATATACTTTGAAATCTACAAAAGATAATTATTACCAAAATAAAAAAAAACAAACAAAAAAAGAACAGATAAACAAAATCCTTGTTATAATCATAATATTAAAACTTAAAAGTGGCATTAACAAAAATTTGTTTTTTTCTCATGTAAATGGCCAATTATAGATGTTGGTCTGTGGTTTATTTATTTTTTAGAAATTATGTATGTTACAAATGTGCATTTCATAGAATTATAAAATGGTGCAATAAAAAATCTAATATGAGTAAATCAAGTCAAAAGAAATAAAAAATAATGAAATTGACTTAATTGGAAATATATTGTCATGTATCTTTCTTACCAATGCGAGTTTTTCCAACACCAAAATGTACTTTGTACGTAATCCGGCATATTCCATATTGATAACAGCAATTTGGAGCTGCAAAACAAATTAATAAAACAAAAAATAAAAAAATGGATGTAAAAATAAAACATAAAATTTAATAGTTTTTTAATCAACAGAAACGTTTTGCATGTCAATGTGATGTCACCATACTATCACACTGTTGTGCTGAAATCCAATAGCAGGTTTACAAAGTTGGCTTTCCACATACTCTTTTATTTGACCACAAAAAAATTAGTCATATAAATATATCACCTTGATTTATATGGTCATCCCACTGTACATTGTATTGTATATAGCCTGTATTATGATGCACTCTGCATGCTTTCATTGTAACATCAAGTTATGTTGCACTATCTATTTTTTTGTCTGTGTTATACAAATTAAAACGTAATCACCTATCCTTTATTTCACGCCAGATATAATGCTTAAATGTTTTACATTGTTATATTCTGACATAAACATCTTTTAAATAGCAAAGATATAGCAAGGACAGCTCAGTTCTTATGGAAAAATAAGACAAGCCTGATTATTTCAGCAATGTTAAGATGTTTTTGTTCAGGTAATTGTCTCTTTGACACATTCTCCATTTCCATTCTCAATTTTATTGTATTGATCTGAGATTATTTTCATTTGTAATGAAAAGCTATTTCTACAGTACTCACATAATGTTTAAAGTCTTTGCCCTGTCTACTAGCAAAGTATTTGAAGAAACTGCTATTGATTTGATAGCTGAAGTCAGACTGGTCAATACTTTCTAAATGTTTTTCCAGTAAAGATTTTTGGTTTTCTGTTAAGGTATCTAAGCAGTACTGTCAAATATATAAAAACAACTGTAGATTGAGTGTTAAAATTAATTTCTAATTTTTATAAAGTGACTTTAATGTATACATATTTTTGAGATGGTAGCTGTTCTTAGTTACTCTACTAATTCGTCAACTTTAAACAAAATTACATGTAAATGATCATAATTTGGAAATTGAATTAGGACGTTATAAAAAAGTTCAAAGAGAACACAGACTGTGCAAAGTTTGTAAAATTTTAGATGATAAGGAACACTTTTTTTTCATTGCCAAATTAACAGTAATGTAATACATTCCCTTAGAAATGCAATTAAAACCCATTATCCTAATTTAAGGATGTATTCTTCTGATGTTTCAGTCTCGTTGAAATCTCGTTCTGGAATTATTTCTAAAATATGTGATACAAGTGGAAAATATCAATGAATTCAAAAAAAGGTTATTATCAAACTTAACTCTCTGAAAAAATTAGGTATTTCCAATGAGTAGTTTTTGAGTAATCAATTATTCAAATTTTATTACCAATCAAGTCAGTCTTTTTAGTCAAAATTTTGAGAAAATGGGTGAGGGATACAAAAAATGATTTTACCAGAAACATGTACATCACACATCCCTTTTTTCTTTTCAAATTTCTTAGATATGTATTTTTTCAATCATTTATAACAAAAATATGCAATTTGTACTTAAAACGGGAAAAAATCACAAATTTACAAAATTGACAACATGGTAAATTTGTCACAAAAAAACATTAAAATATGATAAAGCTTTCTTATATTAACACCTAACTATAGTTTTTTTAATTAAAAATTATTCATATATGTCCCCTACTATTAAGAAAACTTCGATCACAATCAGCCTCTTCAATAATACCACCCATAATAGAAAAAAACATTTACCTTAATCAAATGCTTAGCTAGTCCTAAATACAGGAAATGTAAAGTTCCCACTGGTGTATCTCTGAAAAAACAACAAAAGAGCATATATATATCATTTCTAAATATAGTAAATACATCAAGTCAATATGGCAAACAGTGAAAAAATACAAAATATGAAATGGAAAACACATGACCAAATAAACCAATGAGAAAAAAGAAAAATTAAACCATAAGTGATATTGTTAGTTACATAGTGTGCAATTGTCTTAATACGAGAATTAATTGAGTCAATAAAGTTCATATCGATACAAATTTTATAGACCTATCAGATTTAATTTATGCTTTTTTTTAATTACAAATTTATATATATAAATTCAATAATTAGGACAATATCAACCAAAAAAATTTAGATATCTAATCTAAAACTGTGAAAAATGAAAAATATGAGGACTATACAGCAACTTAAAAACATTTTTTGTAGGATCAATAATTTAAGGGAGATAATTCCAACTGAGATAATAAAAAATGGTACTTAAATTTACTAGGACAACATCAGCCAATCAAATTGTGAGAAATTACTCTAATTCAGGTTACTTATATAAGACAATTACCATCCATCCCAACAAATTGAATATATACGTCATATTGATATCCCTAAAATTATACTAAGCTTATAAAACACATGCATATGTGCTGCATACCTGTGTGGATCCATAAATTGCCATAAACAATTTTCGTACAATTTCACCCCTGTCTGTCTTTGTAAGGAGACTTTGTCTCGCACTAATTTGAGCCTTTCCAGTGTCCTCTTTGTTGTTTCCGGTGTTCTCAAATCCCATTTCTTAAAAAGGATCATCTGCCTACAGATATACAAATAAGTCTCACTAAATAATGTGATGTTTGGTATAAAAAAGTATTTTTTAATATGATGAACAACCATCCAACTTTTAGGTTTGTTTTTTTTGTTGGTTTCTATAAATAACCAGGTGCTCCTATTAAGTTATAGTGCGAAAACCAAGAAAAATGCTTATTTGGGCCATTTTAGGGCCCCTAATTCCTTAACTGTTCGGACCAAAACTCAAATTTTCAATCATAACCTTCCTATTGAGGTCATTAACCTTGTGTTGAAATATCATAGATTTCTATTTATTTATACTTAAGTTATTGTGCGAAAACAAAGAAAAATGCTTCTTTGGGCCCTTTTTTGACCCCTAACTATTGGGACCACAACCCCCAAAATCAATCCCAACCTTTCTTTAGTGGTATTGAACCTTCTTTTAAAAATTTATAAAGATCCATTCACTAAAACTAAAGTTATTGTCCGGAAACTAAATGCGTCTTCGGACACTGACGACGACGACGATGACAACATCATACCATTATAAGACGCAAAAGATTTTTTAAATAGTACCTGTGGCTGTGAATACTTACATTACATTTTGGGCAATATTTATTTGCAGATGGGCCTAAATGGTTGCAAGCCAAACTCATCATATGGTAGTCAGTAACAATCAGGGATATGTCAGTTGTCAGTATAACCTTTTGGTTAAGTGAAGCATCAAATGCTTCTATCCCTGATCTGAAAGATAAACAATAACATACAGTATATAAAAGTTCCATTTCACTTCATATCCTGTAAATGTACTTTTTTTCATGAGCACTTATTTTTGCAAATTGTGTATTTCAAACAAGTTTCCGGGTATTTATTTTTGTGATTTTTTTCTCAAAAGTAAACAAAAATTTGTTTTATAGTTATGATTATTGCCTCGCGTGTAAATCTGAACTGTATTTAAAGTAAAATCGTAAATAGCCGTTGGGTATACTGTATTACATGCTTGGTGGTTAGTGCATGCATTTCATATAAATGTAGAAGATGGCAGTTTGAAAAGAGATGACAGTTGATGACAGTTTGAAAAGAGGTTTTGTTAAGACCGGCATTGCAGGAGTCACACTCTGTAAATGACAAGCTGTAGTAACTTTGGTTATTTGTAAATAAGTTTCGTGTGTACATATTTGTGCTTGTTTTATTTTCAAAAAATCTAATTATAATTACAATTTTGTTTGTTATGAAATGATTACAGTAAAGCTTTCCAAAACATTGTCTGCTACTATACACACATGTTTGTGGATAACTCGATAGTTAAATTAAGCTTATCACAACTCCATGTATACCTGTTAGGTGGAATTGAAAGTTATAGATTTAAGAACATTTCAACAACCCTACCCATAACAAGTCCTGTCTTATTGACACAATGCATAGAATTAGATCACAAGACACAACATTTTAATTTCTTTAAACAATTATACATACTGTTTACAATTTTCAATGTCCTGGCAAATAGGAGACACAAGCTCAAGAATATCCATTCTATCAGCCACACCTAACAAAAACACATTCTTTCCTCTGTTTTTTTCTTCAACATTCAACCCAGAAAGCTGACCCTGGATGGCATGCAGGGGTGACCACCTTTTGGACTGATTGGCTGACATATCATCCATAAACAGGTTTAAAGGCACTGTTATAACAGGTAAACCGGTGTACAAAGATGATTGCTTTAAGATTGCATCTCTTCTCTGAAAAAACCCAAGATGTACTGTAAGTTATTCCTCACTTAAATGATACCATTGTTTAAAATTGCATTTGAATAAGTTGAAGGGGGGGCATCCCCCCCTTTCATGGGAACATTTTTGTTGATGATATAGTGAATCACTGAAGCATGACTAGAGCAGCCCCCTCTTAGGTCAGTCATCCCCCCCCCCTTTATGAAAAGTTCTGGATCCGCCACTGCAAATCCCCAATTGATGCTGATAGAGCTTAAAATACAATACAGCTTTCTCATAAATGCAAACATAAGTAAATGAACTTGAGTAAATAAGAATCTTTATAACTGAAGGCAAAAAAATAATATATTCATGTTACTTGGCGAATAAATTTATAAAGTGGCGAAAAATATATATTGTTTTTGGGAAAGAGGTGGCGAAAAAAAATTAATTGAACCAGCGGAAACCCTGACTGATAGTAATGTGACTTTATAGAAAATGTCATTGATCTAATAAGTAGTTCCTTAACATGTTGACTTAAGCAGAAAAAATTACAATGAAAATAGCTAATTAACTCCTTTATAAAACTAATGACATTTCTAACCTGTTCAAATTATCATCTATAAACAATGTACAAATGTTAAACAATGAAACACATACTTCTCTGGAAATGTTTATCAACTCCCCATTTATGAGCTCCATCAATGATGTGTCACTTGGAATAGAAAACACCTTGCATTTTTCTAACGAGACCATATGCAGTTGCCCGTACTTCACTAAACATCTAAAAAACAATTAAACTTACATTTATTAATGTTCAAAATTTTGGCACTAGCTTGTACTAACTGCAAATGCACATAAGGGGGAAGTTTTTGCACTAAAAAAACAATGCCATTAATTTCCTGTTTGGATTGTTTTACATTTGTCATTTAAGGGCCTTCTATTATGACTGTGTGGTTTTTGATCATTGTTGAAGGTCATACATTGTTTTAGGGTTGTTTATTTGATTACTGTGTAGAATTGTCTCATTTAGGCACTTAAACCACACCTTTTTGTTTTTCAAGGAGAATTCAAAGAGTACGACTCTTCTCTTAAAATTGTAATTCAAAACCTTTTTCATTAAAGAAATTGCAAATTTATGGCTTTGTGACAATTTTGAAAAAATAATGTGAATATTTGGTATTGTTTATATCTGTAAATGATATTTGTTCATCATCTACCTTGTATAAAGAAACTTTAAATCACAAAAAGAATAATATATGCCTTATAAGTTTTATACAATTTGAGATTATTGACCTTGACATGCTGAAAATTCTTATAAATGGTCAACTAATGAATTATGAAATCTACATTGTAGCTTGATAAAAGATATGAATTAAAACCTTTAGAGTTGTTTTTATACTCTAAAGACAGCTAAAATATCAAGAATCAATACATTCTGTTGAACAGAAGCAGTGAAATTATAATTTTGTGTCAATTTTTTATTGACATTTCTGCCTTTTTTGCAGAGTTATCTCCCATATCTATGGAAATCTCCATAGGAATTTTAAAATCATTATTTTTTACTTTTCCTCAAGTTAGATTTTATGAGATTTTTTTCTGTGTATATTTGGGGTATAATGATAAAGATTAAAACTTCTGTTGCAATTACTTCAAGGTCAGTGTCAAATTTATGCTAGATTGACTGGACTAAATACCATATCGCCTAACTTAAGTAATAAACAGCTGCGCCATGAGCGCATGATACGCCCGTCGTCTTGTGTGTGAATTTTTATGCAATAAGCATAAATAGTTTCTGACATATGGCATAACATGCGAAAACCCCCCTTTTTTTTTTACAAAAAACTCAATATCTCTAAAATAAAATTTTGAATCAAAACCAAAAAGTATACAGATCTTTAGATTAATATAACTAAGAAGTGTGTAAAATTTTAAGCAATAATCATAAATCGTTTTTGAGATAAGGCGCGACATGTGAAAACCCCCCTTTTAAAAAAAAAAAAAACAATATCTCAAAAATAAAACTTTGAATCAAAACCAAAAAGTATACAAATCTTTAGATTAATATAACTAAGAAGTGTGTAAAATTTTAAGCAATAATCATAAATCGTTTTTGAGATACGGCGCGACATGTGAAAAACCCCTCCCCCTTTTTTTACAAAATACTCAATAACTCTAAAATAAAATTTTGAATCATCACCAAAAAGTATACAGATCTTAAGATTAAAATAACTAAGAAGTGTGTAAAGTTTTAAGCAATAATCATAAATTGTTTTTGAGATACGGCGCGACATGTGAAAAAAAACACACACCTGTTTTAGTTACTAAGTCCCGTAACTCAGAAAGTTTTAATCTTATTTTCACCAAAAAGTATACAGATCGTTTGACCATCATAAGAAACAACTATGTTAAGTTTCATGAAATTTGGATAAGTCATTCTCAAATTACGGTGCGACATGTTTACGCCGGACATACAGACGGACGGACACTGGACATTTGTATACCATAATACGTCCCGTCAAAAATTGACGGGCTTATAAAAATATACATACTTTTCTTCCATGTTCATTTCAGACATGTATCTGTGTTCCTTGCCAATAAACACATCTACTTTAGCATACATCAATTTGTCTTCCTGCAACATCAAATTAAAAATTACAGCAGTTATGAAAGCATTTACATTTAATACTCATATTGAAACATCTAGAATAAGTTCTAAGCTAAAAAATAAGATATGAATACACTAACTTAGTAACTATGTATAATTTAACATAAAATTAATGAAATAAAATGATTTAGGCCCCAAGTATCTTGAAATTTATAACATCAATATTAAATACATCCCAATACTGACAAAAGTTACAACTATCAAATTTAAACAACAGCATCATACCATTATACAACAATTTTTTTTTGCATTAGTCACAGGACAACTCACAACATCCCTGATTCACAAAATTTAATAATTATAAATGCAACATTCAAAACAAAATGCATGAACATGAACTAAACTGGCTTTTAAAAAAATAAAATATTGTTTGATATTACATTAACATTGTTGTAGGAGTAACTAAGTTAAATTATCTCCCTTTGTTGGAGACTGCAAATCAAATCTCAATAAATAAGCTTTCATTACAGTCGGGAAAAATGTAATAAATTCAATAGTTCATATTTTGATTAATGATTTTGTTTCAAATTTTACATAATCTTATAAGGGATGTAATATTCATTTTTTATTTCGTTTTTAAACCTAAATCTGCTAATATCATCAGATATTTTTTTTTTACAGAATATCATTTTAAACGTCCCTATATCATGTATATCAGGTTTGCCAAATGCTTTGCATCAAAGTTTGGATGGTTAAGAACAATGCTGTGAGAAGAAAAGGGAAAAAGACTGATGTTAAAAGGATGTTATAACTGAATTGAATCAATAATTAGACTGTTTTGAATTACAATACCTGTACACTTTCCAGAAACTGCAAAATTTTGCCGTAGACTGCTTGACCATCAAGTTCAAAGGATATGAACTGCCCTTTAACAAATTGGTGTTTTTTACTGTTTATAGTCCAGTGAAATTCCATTTCTCTCCACTTACTGCCTGACACTTGGTAGTTTGACTGAGTAGTTGTTTCTACAGTTGGATATCTATATATATATATATATGGAGAGTATTTTATTATAAAATATATTCTTCTACATTTTGTTATATTTTTGAGATGCAATAAAGGTTTCGGGTACTTATGTAGTTGAAAAAAACAAATCTCTTATTTCATTGACATTGATAATTCATATTGACATGCGCTCTTAATATTTTTCAAGTACCTGGAGTGTCTTTTCCTTAAAGGGTTTTCCTCTGAGAATACATAGAAATATATAAGTGGGTGGTAATGGGGGTACCTTTGTGACAAATAACAGTAAAAAAATTTGAATATGAACATTCTTGGGTAAACAAATCTTCATATCTCCCTCAGGCACAGGAAATGAATGTTTTATTCCACTGCCTAAGCTTTGTATACTATCTGAACTTCAAATATTAGTTTGCAACTTTGCATACCGGCATTTTTTCTTATCCGCTTGTTTTTATTACTAAACACGACATATGTATTGATAAACAGTACGGATAAGCATTAATTATTTAATTAGTATTTTTGTTTTAACGTCTGAAATAAATTTGAACACGATAATGACATTTGCCAAAGCTTTTTAGAAAAATAAGAATTTCAAGACGTTATGTACATTAACCGTGCGTAACGTCGCATGATTTAGTCCCGACATTTCAGAGGGGAATATGATACTCAGAGTTGAATATGAAGTTTTGTTCGACGTCACGTGTGAACGTTTCAACCAATCAAATGTTGATTTCGCTATAAAAATCAACATGCAGTGGAATAATATAGATTATTAGATATTAGATATTATTATTTAAGATATAATATTACTAAAAACAGCAAAATTCCTTAAAATCACTAATTCAGGGACAGCAACCCAACAGTTGTATCATAGGTGGGGCATAAATACTGCATTTTACCCCCATGTTCTATTTTAAGCCATGTCATTCATCTTGGACAGCGGGGGGATCCTTGGACACATTTTTAAAATTTAGATACAAGACAAACTTATTTCTCATGTTTTTGTTAAAGAAACTTGCTATTGAAAATTGTTGAAAGAAGCAAACATTAAAGAGTGTGCCCATTTCATTTTGGGGGCCATAATAAGCAAACTATTTGACTTACCTTTTAAAATTATAACAATTTTACATGTTTGTTTATACAAATATTATAAATACAGACAAAACAAAAATTATACAAAAAAGTTCATTATAATAAAATAAATAACTCAGATTACTTGCTTTTTAACTAAACTTTTGAATATTTTTTTAAATAATTTTTTTTATAACAATTTAAATGAATGAATTACCTTTTGGATCATATCTTCCATTTCCATTTTTGTCTGAAGATACTTCTTTATTTTGGACAGTGGAGGCACATTACGACACCCACATTCCTTCATTATGTACATGACAAAAGACATTACCTCATCACTCTGAAGAACAATAAAAAAAAAAAAATGAAAAGTGAAACATGACTGTCAAATATTGATATCTATGTATATCTGCATGGCTGCAACATCAACAAAAATAAAATGTATGGTATAAATGAAAATATAAAATTACAGTGAAAGACATAACTTCAGGTGCAGTTCGCAAGAGTTACTCACTCCTTTTTTGGTGCAAGTTTTTACTTCTTTAAAAACACAACGTGAAGCAAATTAACGCTTCTTAATACTAACTCTGGAAATACTTTATTCTTATTATACATTTGAAATCTTTAGTTTTGAACTTTATTTACATACTCTTGTTTAATCATTGTTTGTTAAATACATGCAATTGTTGTACATTTTTGAATAAATATGAGGGGGATAGGACCTTTATCAGGACTAGGAGATTGGGTGTTTTTAAGCTCGGGATAAACCCTTTCCTAATCTTGGAATCCTTTTTTCGAATTTCAGGATATCGGGATTGAAATTTTTTTAAGTCATAAAACTTTGCTCAGTGCTTGGAGCTCAATATTCATGCTCGAAACATAAAATTCAGCATTTTGATTGGGTGATTTTGGAGTATGGGTACAAAAAAACTGACTCGAACGTTTTATGACTTCAAGGCCTGGCCTTGCGGTCATAAAACTTTTGAGCATGATTTTTTTACTCAGACTCAAGAATTAACCAATCAAAATACTGGATTTTGTGTTGGAGCTCAAATTTTGTACTCCTTGTACTGAATAAAGTTTTATGACCAAGAGCCTTGTTTGAATTCAGTTTCAGTCCAATTGTTTGTAAATAAATTTAATTATCATGTTTATTGTGATTAATATGCTTTTTATATGGGCTGCTTTAAGGTTCATGTGGACCATTAGGCTAAATTGGCTGCATTTTTCAGATGCACAGGTTTGTTTGAATCTGTACTCTCAGTAAATTTTGAGGTAATAATGCAGTCATTTTATCCAAAGGGTTCACATGAACCTTAATTGACAATAAAAAATGTACTCCCTCTTTGAGAGAGATGTGCAAAAATCAGTGATTGAAATAGCATCACATTTTATACAAATGAATATTATGACCCTTAAGACCCTGGGGAGACCACAATAAATAATTACAATGTTTTGTATGACTTTTCCATATTTTTTTTTGGATGCCTTCCTTCAACTGAAAGGGGTAACAGCAAAAATCAAAAAATAGCCTTCTAAGTTTCTAGACATCATAAATTACAAAATTACTTTGACTAGACTAAGAAAAAGAATAAGAATATTCTATTTACAATTGAAGGGCCCTATAGGTTATAAAGAGCTTTCATCACAATACATATATACAAGTACATAAGATTGGACATAAATTGGACACATATAAGAAAACAGCTAGAATAAGATATGCAATCAGAATGTAAACTTACAACTCGGTGGGTTTTAGAACTGTATAATGAAGTGAGGAGAAAGTGGGTTTTGGAATCGAATGGGAACCACTCTGTTTCTGTCCTGGTGTCACGGCTTCGTTCCTCGTAATATTCTTGTTCATCCTCATCATCTACAGCTTCATCTTCTTCTTCTTCAAAATCTTCATCGTAATTATCTTGACCGTAACTGGATTGATAGTCTACGGTCGCACCATCTACGATCATGTCAGTGGGCTGAGCCTGAGTAGCGCTATCCGTGCATAAATCATTCTCGTTATTTTCACAGTTTACCTGGGTGGAAAAATTCAGTACACGCAGATGCCGATCAGATTCCAAATGCCGGTGATAATTTGCACTTTTTCCTGTCTCGTACCCACAACAATCACATTTAAAACTATCCGGTGCCTCAAATTTTGACGTCCGATTGCGAGACATGTCAGCGGCTTCATTGACAACCATCAACATCGATGAAACGCTTTATAATTGTAATCAACGAAATCGCATCTCTTTGAAACGTATACGTAACCCTGCTTATACATGACGTCATAATACAGACGACAGTTCTGTCAAAATTATTACAGTTCTGTCAAAGACGCCAAAGATCAAAGGAAGACAAAAAGATTAAAGATAGACAAAGATTCGAATTGAAAGCCATGTTTCAGGTAAAAAAAAACAATCTTTCAGCGTCATAAAACCAGAAAAAAAATCAATGCCACACAATGAACTAGAAATTTTATAAACATGCAAATATTCTATTTCTGTTACGATTTTTAATTTTAATGGAAAGAAGGATAACATGAATTTTGTTAAAAATTTATAAACAAGTGGACACAGTTGTAGGTGAGGTTGTAGTGGTGGAAATTACAGCAATTACAGGCGAAAATCTTTAGAAACAATGGTTGCACTGTCTGACAAACATGTGTTGCAGTAAAAAAAAGTTTGAATAAAGTTTTTTATTACCTCCCAAACAGATATTTTTTGTCAGAGTAATTTTTGAAACCAGACTGAGATAATTATTATAAAAAGCAAAGTTTAAGTAAGGCATTGCTGGTAATTAGTTAAAAAGCTTAAATTTACCCACACAATGTATACATAGCCTTTCAATCAAAATGGAGAGAAACAAAACTGTATGAGAACAAATCATTAAAAGCAACAACAAAAAAAAATTGTTTTATTTTTGAAAGAATTAATTTTTTAACAGGACAGCCAAGATAGTAATACTAATAGTATTGATGAAGGAGGCCTAGGGTCACAGCAGGACCTCTTTGATGACAGGGTAGCAGCACCCCTCCCTAACCTACCACATGCACAGTTTTGTTGTGATGGGTGTAAATCTAACTCTTTGTTGTTAAAAGAAATAGGTATGTTACGTTTTTGAATCTATATATATGGTCACATGTATTAAAATTTAAATATCTTTAGTGTTTCCATCCCAACTTGCACTGTTTTATAGACCCATAGTCCAACTTGCATGATTTTTAAAATTATTCAAATTGGTTATGCAATGTATTGGAACCTACTTCTTTTGAAATACTTGTTGGTAATTGTTGCAAATTGACAAAACAGGGGAGATAACTCATGAAACTACAAAAAACTATAAAGTAGCCATGTCATTGAATTAAAAACTAGATGGGCACTGTATGATACTTACTAACTAAGAAAGAGCCTGCACTTATTAGATTAATATCATATAAATATATTGTGTAAGTAGACATTTTTTTTTGCTTTGAATTTCCTGTAGTAAAGAATAAATCATTTGACCAATTATTTTCCCATATGTTAAATGCTGAATATCTTTCTTTGCTTGCTTGCCTATTTAAAAACGGCATGAAATGATGAAATATAGATAATTTCTTTAGTAAAAATGCATATATATTTTAATTTTACACTTTACATTTATTATTTTTTATTTTTTTTTAAAGTGCCTGCATGTCACATTATAAAGACCTTGAAATACATCTTTATAGCTATCTATTTATTTTTTTAACTTATAATTATTACAGTAAAGGAATTAAAAGATTTAAAACAATGTGTGAACACAGCAGCAAAGCCTGGAAGGTCATTTACCTGTATTGAGAAGACAGATATGGAGGTAACTCTTGAGAAAGTTTTGAAAATATCTACAATTTGTAAGAATTAAAGCTGCAGTCAGTCACTGTAATCAATATTATAGATCTTTCAGGTCTGGCGATCAGCAAATCACTGAATTGTTTCTTTGCTCAACATATACAGTTGAGACTCTTGAGAGCACCAATATTCTCAGTAGTGAAACTAGTATACATTCTTAAATTTATGGTAAAGGAATTATAAGTCTCTTAATGTACAATATGAGACAGAACTCTTTGATCATGTTTTTTTTTTATTATTATGCCCAAGCAGTAACAAAGAGGGCATTAAGTAATACCCATGTCCGTTTGTCCAGTCTGTCCGTCCTGACCATTCAAAAAATGGTGTCTGTTCTCTCATTTTAGTTTGCCTCAACAAAATATTATAAAACTGAAACAAAATGCATACTATCACAAAACAAAGATCATGGTCGAAATTGGGTGTCATCACTTTATTCTTTCATAAGCCCCTTTATTAGCCTAGACAATTGCTGATTTTTTTTGGTTTCCATTCTATATATAGCTTTAGTTTGCCTCAACCAAATATTATAAAACTTATATACAATGCACATTCCCACAAAATATAATTATAGATAAAGTTTGAAATTGAGTGGCAAAACTTTTACCATTTATGAGTTATGCCCCTTTATTTATGGAAAAATCTCTCAATCTGTTGTTTCTGTTCTCTAACTGCAGGTTGCCTCCACCAAATGCAATGAACTTATTCAAAATGCTTAGGGTATAATTGCTAAACTGTCTTGAATATGTGAATCCTGTATCTTTATGTGGACGCATGCACATTTACAGGCGCATCTAAGGCCAAATTAGACATATTCTCCATTTTTGTCGATCCTGCGACTTTTGTCGCAGAAAGCTTGACATAGGGATAGTGATCCGGCGGTGGCGGCTATTGTCGAGCCTGCGAGTTTTGTTGCAGAAAGCTTGACATAGGGATAGTGATCTGGCGGCGGTGGCATTGGCTTACTTCTTAAAAGCTTTATATTTTAGAAGGTGGAAGACCTGGATGCTTCATACTTTGTATATGGATGCCTCATGTTAGGAAGTTTCCGTCAGTCACATGTCCAATGTCCTTGACCTCATTTTCATAGTTCAGTGACTACTTGAAAAAAAAGTTAACATTTTTTGTAATGTTAAATTCTCTCTTATTATAAGTAGTAGGATAACTATATTTGGTATGTGCGTACCTTGCAAGGTCCTCAGACCGTCAGCATTTTCACTTGACCTTGACCTCATTTCATGGATCAGTGAACAAGGTTAAGTTTTGGTGGTCAAGTCCATATCTCAGATACTATAAGCAATAGGTCAAGTATATTCGGTGTATGGAAGGACTGTAAGGTGTACATGTCCAACTGGCAGGTGTCATCTGACCTTGACCTCATTTTCATGGTTCAGTGGTTATAGTTAAGTTTTTGTGTTTTGGTCTGTTTTTCTTATACTGTATGCAATAGGTCAACTATATTTGGTGTATGGAAATATTTTATGATCTATATGTCAGTTGCGCAGGTTTTATTTAAGGAATGACTGTAATATTTTTTCTGTCTATGAAGAAATAACATCAAAAATGTGGTGCACACTGAATAACCCGCGTAGTGGGTTATTTTAAAGTGTGCACCACATTTTTTATGTTATTTCGAATAGACAGAAAAAATATTACAGTCATTTCTTATAATTTAATTCTAAATTCCATTTTAAACCGGAGTAAACCATGAAAAAACGTTGATGACGTCACGGTCACATGACAAAATTATGTCTATGAGCTGATAAACAAAACAACGTCAGCCAATCATATGACGCGTTACATCCAAAATTAAATTATTTGACCTTGACCTCATTTTCACAGTTCATTGCTCAGCGTTAATTTTTTGTGTTTTGGTCTGTTTTTCTTATACAAGCCATAGGTCAACTATATTTGTTGTATGAAAGAATTGTTAGCTGTACATGCCTGCCTGGCATGGTTCATCTGACCTTGACCTCATTTTCATGGTTCAATTGTCAATGTTTAGTTTTCTTGGTTAATGTTAAGTTTATGTGACAGTTGTAATAAAGCTTTATATTAAGGACTATCAACATAATATCAGTGATTAGTTAAGAAGGCGAGACATTTCAGCGTGTGCACTCTTGTTTCACTTTCATTTATAAATGACAGACCTCAATCATTGCACTTTAGAGCACCTTAAAATATTTAATGATAGCTTCTGCTGGTTACAAGAAAAATCACCAGTGACATGTGTATATCATAGAAGAGTTGAAAAGAATGATCAGGTAAAAAAAAAACCAGACAAAGAATGAGCTATAATTTGACCAAACATGATGAGTCAAATAAAATTAAGATCTTATAATAATTATAAAGGGAGACAGAAACTTAGAAGACTGAGACTACTGATGTTTTTCCTCTTTGTAGAGACCGTTGACAGATTACCTGAAAAGCCGGTTCCCAAAGAACCCATTTTTGGCAGACCCAGACACAGAGTTAAAAGTAAGATTTATTGGTGATGAATAAATACATATGCATGTTTAAACCAAGACTTAATTGTCATCTGCCTTTTAGTTTAAGTGGGAAAGTTCTGTCTCTCCGTCTATATGAATTTTATGTGTTCAGCATTACTGATGACTTTCCCTTTATGGATTTTCATGAAACAGTGTCCCAAATAAATGTGTACTTGTGAGTTTGCCAGTCACTTAAAATCACTGCTTCATCCTATATTTTATAATTGCCAATTTGGCACCAAGTTCTATGTAGGCATGGCAATTGCAAATCAATCAACTTTTTGAAATAATGGTAAACAACAACAGATTTTTGTGTCAGCTGAATACTGCAAAGTCACAGTTTATAATTCCGGATGTTTGGTATTATACAGCATGAGATGTATAAACATGCTTTATGGTTCTGATCAACTTGAAAAATAGAGAGGCAGATTACACACTTCTCTTGCTTGAAGGACTCAATCGTACTAGCAATATAACATTTAAAAAAACAACATATAAATTCAATGGAATAATTATTTAACTGGACAAAAATACAAAAAATATGAAAATTCATTGTTTATTGGAACAATTACTGAGAGCATTTATATCATATTAAATGGTTAATTTGAATAAAGGTGAAAATATAACTTTTATTTTGCATACTTGTTTTTGTTTCAGGCCAAATTAATGTCGTTAAAGAGGAGACTCGCTCCAGAGGCAGACACCCAAGAAGTGCTTAGAGCAGGAGTTAAGTTCAGCACTAGGAAAATGGTCGACTTTAGGTCTCAAACCAAAAACAAGGTAACCATGAAATTTTTGAGAGTGTTAGAAGAATGACATACAAGCATTGTAATTCAGTGCTTGTCTTTTGTTGATGTGTTACATATATACAGTCCGCCAAAAGTTAAGCACCACCTATCTTTGTTGCATCGAAATTTTTTTCATTTAAAAAAACCAGTTAATCCTCGAAAAAGAGAAAATATTCATGTAGCAATCTTGCTAGCATATGCCATAAACAAACCATACACTTAAGTTTGGTCACTGATGCAGGTTCGATGCATTTGAATTTTGCGTTCATAGAAATAGTGAAAATTACACAAATCAGAAACGGAATTTAAGTTTTACTTTGATTTTATTTTTTTACAACAATTAATCACCCAAAATCATTAAAAGTCTCTACAAATAATCTTTGGTATGTTCGCAAATTTAATGTCAATATTTAAGTCAATAGAATGTGTAACAACCTCTCTTCCGGTACAGTTCCACAACACGGCGTCTCATACTCTGTACAAGCCTTCTGAACTTTAGTTGAGCAAATTTATTCGATTCATCAACAATTGCCCCTCTTAAATCGCCAAGATTTTGCAAAGGTGGATCTCTGCGATTGAGATTTCTGCCAATGGCATCCCAGACATGTTTGATAGTGTTCAGGTCTGGAGACATGGAAGGCCAAAAGATAGTGTCAATGGCTTCTTGATCTTTGTAATCGGTTACAATCCTTGCCCTGTGTGGTCTAGCGTTGTCGTCCATGTACGAGGGTCTTGACGCAAGTTGGGGATTCTCAAAATGAGGGACTACAATGTTTCTAAGCTCCAAATCCCTGTATGTGTGTCTGTTCATGTTACCCTGCAAAATATGCATACCCAGCTTACAACAGTATGAGAAGAAACCCCATACTGTTACACCACCATCAACGATTGCTGTCGTTGGGCAATTGTTGTTTTGGTGATAGGCAGTTTTATTTCCCCGCCAAACTCGTATTCTGCCGTCTATTGCTGGTAACAGAAACCAGCTCTCATCTGACCAATGAATATTTTGCCAGGTTCTCATGTTCCATCGTCGATGGTCATTAGCCCTTTGAAACCTGATTATACGGTGCCTGGCTGTTAGGGCACGTCTTTTGACAACACGACGTGCTCTTAGGTAGCCTTTATGAAGTCGACGGACCAATGTTCGAACACTAACACGACCACCTGGAGGCCAGTGGTGTCTAATCTATGGGGCAGGAGTAAATGGGTTGGCTTTAGCACGACCAATAAGTAGTCTGTCATCACGATAGGTAGTTAAACGGGGTCTTCCTGACCTTGGTCTACCATTTACAGTTCCTGTGTCAATATGACGTTGTAAAAATCTGACAATGACGGTGCGATTAACATTGAAATGGTTACCAATGCTCCTAGTGCTCCTACCGGCATTTGACATGTCAATTGCTTGTCAACGTTCAGTCACAGATAATTTACCGCTTGCCATATTTCACAGTGACTTGGTGAAGGTCAAATTTCACCTGTACGCGGGACAGTAGGAAGATGATTTAAAGGCATCGAAACAGTGTATTTGTTAAAGTGCAGATGACCTTTAATAAAAGGTTGCTTGGCGGGTATATCGGAGTTTAATTTTTTTGGTCGTAATGAATTTTCTTAGTGTATGCGATAGGCAATTCATAACACCAAACATAAATATTTTTTTCGCAATAGTTAAAAAAATATTGACAGTTATATTAAGGTGATGCTTAACTTTTGGCGGACTGTATATATTTGTTTTTAGTTCATTTTTTGTACATGAATTAAGCCATTACTTTTCTAGTTTGAAATGTTTTACATTTGTAATTTGCTGGCCTTTTATAGCTGACTTTGCGGTATGGGCTTTGCTCATTGTTGAAGGCAGTATGGTGACCTATAGTTATTAATTTTTGTGTCATTTGATCTCTTGTGGAAAGTTTTGTCATTGACAATCATACCACATCTTCTGTTTTATACTAGGTGTTGTCCTATAACTATTATCTTGATTTACAGTTCTAAAGATGCATATCAAATGTACATCTATAAACTGTATATAAACTGTACAGGTGTAAAGTGGTATACAAATGTACATTTTTAAAGCTGTATATAAACTGCACCTCTGTAAAAGTGCACATTTTTAAATTTGTATATAAGCTTTATAGATTCTACCACTGCATCTTGTGTAATACAATATCTATCCAGTTTATTTATAGTTTTAAAGATGTACAGTTTATATACAGCTTTACAGAGGTAAAGTTTTATATATGGCTTTACTGCTGTACAGTTTTGATATACAGCTTTACAGATGCACATTTTATATGCATCTTTAGAACTTTTTTCTAAACGCCTTCAGATATTCAAGTTTAAGTTAGGTTCAGTTCCACTAATTTTTTATGAAAATACGAGCTTTGGACTTTGATAAATTGTTGAAAATCACAGTTTAATACAGGCTTTTTTCTAAACGCCTTCAGATATTGGGCTGATTTTTGGATTGTGAGTTAACCATGATGAGTTATAGATCAAGTTAAAGTTAGGTTCAGCTCCTCTGATTTTTGTCAAAATTAAGGGTTCACGACTTTGAAAATCACAATTATACAGACTTATTTTCTATACGCCTTCAAATTTTGAGTTGATTTTTTATATGTGAGACAACCATCATGTTTGTGTCCACAGGTGTTGTTGAAATTGCAGTTTTTCAACTCTTTGAGACAGGGCCACTCATGTCGTTTCTACACATTTAGTTTTGTTTTTTAATCTGTATCATCAGATTTCTTTAGGCCTGTAATAAGGATATATAACTGTTAAGAGACCTCTTGAATACTAATGTACCTCTGATACTTCACCATATATATGAGGTGATTTAAAAAAATCACCAAATAAGATACATGATTATTTATTATATCTGAACATTAAACACAATTTGTTCCTACTACTGAAAATGAGGACATGGACAACATTTCCTTGGAAAATAAATCAGAGAATTATTTAGACTAATACAGGACATAAAAATTACTTGTATTTTCATGATTTATTCATGCTTAAAATGGAATTTAGAATTAAATTAAAGAAATAATGACTTTTAATTTATATTTTTTCTTTCTAATAACATCAAAAATGTGGTGCACACTTTAAAATAACCATGCAGATATGTGCACCACATTTTAGATGCTATTTCTTCATAGACAGAATTTTTGTAAAGTTATTCCTTAAGAAACATAAATTGCTTACATGTAATCCTATCATGATGTTTGAATTACTTTTTAGATGCTATCAAGAAATGAATCCGCAGACTTAGGCTGTAAAAGTCTAAAGGACTTGGGAAAAGCCCTTTTTTCTAGGTTTCAATGCCAAGATGAGGAAGCTGTTGAAAATATGACAGTTGCTTTAGTAAGTACATGAATCATTATTTTAAAAAAAATAATAGATAATTATTATCATATTAAAAATATAGTCCCCACATCTGAATCTTAAGATATTCATTATGTGAAAGGAGTGTAAAAAACACATTTTGTAATTCACTTATTCATCACATGGATGATGTTGATCACATAAAATACATATTATGATAATTATTAGCTGTAAGAATTCTCAAAATCAATCACTTAAGAGTTTAAGCAACTTGTCACGTCATTTTTCAGATAAACTCAATTTGTGTCAGTAGAACATTAGTTATGAGTAGGTTACATACACTATAATACAGAAAAAAATGAAATACAAGTTATTCTACTGCATACCTAATTCATCTATTGAGCTGGCTGTTCGCTTATATAAATACAATGATGCAACATTTATATATATATTCATTACCTGGGTGAAACAATAAGGAAAATTTAATTTTTAATTATATTGTATACACCTTGAAATATTAAGTTATTAAAGTTAACAACTATGCATATTGGTATCTAGTTTGTAGAAAATCCAGCCAGTGCCTTTATAACCTGGGAAAGACCTTAGGAATTTATCAAAATATGTATAAACTCTAATTTAATTCTTTAAATTTCCATTTGATATTTGGCATGTTGGACATGATAATGATGAGTTGTTACTGTGTTAGCAATTTTCATGTCTGTTCTTTGTCAACCTCCTTTGTAACTGTAAAGAGACTTTGAAACCAATGGGGCACTGAAAATGTGTGCATTAAACACTAGTTTTGTATAAACATACTATAAATTGAAACATTTTTTTTAATCTTTATTATTGATCTTTAATTATTTTTCAGAGAGCATTCAGCCATGAAAAAAAGCAGTTAAAAAGGCAGTCTGGGGAGCCCTTGGAGGATTACTGGACATCCTTCAAGGGTTACCTTGGGGATCTTTTGGAAAGCCAGGACCAGGACAAATGGGTCCTGCTTAAAGAGCGGGAAGTCAAGAGAATTGAGAGATATAATAAGTATGTAATATAAATATAATTTACACTTTCGCTAGCTTGTGACATATTATGTATACAAAGATGTCATTTTATTTTCAATATTCTACTTTGTCATCATCATGACCAAGCAACACATACTCTTTTGAAAATATTAAAGATAATTCCATAAGAAAATATAAGGAAAGGTCATATGTATTTGGTTCCTTTAATTAAAAGGCACAGTCATTTGGAAATAACTTTATTTGGATGTAAAGTTTTTATTGAACTAACAATTTAAGTCACGTCCCTAAGACATCTTGTATGGGATATATGTCATGTATGTAAAGGTTTTAGGACACAATCAGAAACTTTTGAACTGTATGTTTTCAGTAAAACAAGTTTTAGGCAGGCAAATTTTGGAATAATTTATATGGAACGATCATTATATTTTTTACCATATATTATTATTTCTAAAATATTAGGATCAGACCCTACATCATACTTTACTGGTTAAAAAAATGCATGAAAACAAGAGTACATGTATACATATAATATAATGATTGAGCTTAATATTTCCTTATACATCTTATTTTTATTGGGAAAGGAACTTAAGTCTAGATTAATTAAAATTGAGGGTTCATTTTATTTAAGTTTATTTAACTATAACTCTTTGTATTCTTCGTTAATAGAATAGCTAAATTTAAATGTGTCCTTTATAAATATGAGAATTCTTTTTTTTTTTACAGATAAAGATGGACATGATTGATGGAGTGCTGGAATAGCTTAAGTTTTAAAACAATATGAGAACACTTAATTTTATGATTTTCTGTTTATATATTTCTTTCTTTATATGTAATATAAGTATATTTTTGTAATTGATTGTTGTTATTTTTTTTTCTTATCAATTTAGTGCTTGGCAATTTGGAAGAAAGAATTATAGCATCGAAATTGAAAAAGTATAAGACAAACATAAAGGGAAAGTTTGTTCTTATGTTGTACAGGTACACCTCTACCCAGGTTAGACGGAGGGTTGGTGCCTTAAAACCAGTTTAACCCCACCACATTTTGTATGTGCCTGTCTCAAGTCAAGAGCCTGTAATCGGTGGGTTTTGTTGTTTGCTTTGTTACATAGGTAATTTTTGGTTAGTAATTTTGTACATAAATTAGGCTGTTTACTTTCTGGTTTGTATTGTTTTACATTTGTCATTTCAGGGCATTTTGTAGCTAAGACTATATGGTATGGGCTTTGCTCCTGGTTGAAGGGTGACCTAAAGTTGTTAATGTTTGTGTCATTTGGTCTCTAGTGGAGAGTTGTCTCATTAGCAATCTAACAACATTATCTTTTTTATATGCCATTATGCTTTAAATTTTGCATTCTGTTTAATATATGTTCTTGAACAGTTATGATTACAGAGTGAGCCAAGTTATATTCATTATACAGAAATTATAGCGCATGCATGTTGAAAAAGAAAAAATAAAGCACCACAAAATTCACAATTCAGGTGAAATTAACATGAAAAAATTAACGTGAATTTCACGTGAAATCTCAATTCACGTGAATTTAACATGAAATTTTTAACGTGAATTTCACGTGAAATCTCAATTCACGTGAATTTCACATCAGATTCACGTGAAATTCACGTGAAAAATTTCACGTGAGTTTCATGTATAAGCTCGTTTGAGGTGAATCTCACGTGAAAAATTTCACGTGAAATTTACGTGAACAAAATTTGCCTGTGTAGGTTGAAAAATACAGGCAAAGTTTAGATGTTTATGAAGTGTCCTATATTTTGACTTTAGTGGAACCTTAAGCTTTATTACATTCTGCTAAATTATAGAAAATACAATCAGTATTACAACTGAAAATAGCCAGTCATTTTCCCATTATTTTGTGTTACTTTTTATATATCCTAGACTCAATGTGCTGCCCAAAAGAATGTGGAAAAGAATGCGTAAGTAATGTTTTTTGAAGTAATGAAAACTAGAGGTCATTCGTTTAAAGTAAATTCATGATATATAGTTTTCCGAAATCATTCGAAATGACATTTTTGTATATTGAACATGTTAATTTACAATTATTATTTGAACGAATCATATCTTTATCGAAGAGTCTGCAATATAAGAATACTTCAAAAAAAAATAGAAACTCATATTTTACAAATGAATGCATGGCTTAAAGAAAAAGGCGACATATAACAGTTCCTTGTGACATATAGGCTTCATTGGTTTTTAGGAATTTCCTAACGCCCAGTAGCAAACAGTGCATGTATATCAACACATAATAAGTTTCACAATACAACAAACATATCTATAACTCATTAAAAAAAGGCTTCTGATTGGGTACTCAATACATTCGTTTCGTCTACACAAGACTCATCGGAAGCGCTCGAATCAAAACATTAGGAAGGCTCATTAGGAAGTACGAAGTTGAAGAGTATAAACAATTGAAAATTTCAAAAGTTAGAAAGTCAAGCCCCGTGATAAAAATAAAACCTTAGTTCTTCGAATAATTCAATAGACAAATAGTATTTATTGTTAGTACATAGTAAAGGTTGAACAATAGAAACTTCCACTTGCAAACAAGGTGCGTTTGTTTAACTGCAAAAGTTAAGCCTTTGCAGTGGTGCATCCGGAAACCATAACGACATTTACTATATCCCAAATGTTTTTTCGATTCGTCAGCAAAACGTTTAAAATACTAAAACGATGAGTAATCGTAAAAAAGGCAGCAATAGTTTTCCGATGTTCAATTGACTCCTGTAAGAAATATGCTACGTTGCACTAAAATAATATTGGCGTTATTCTCGATGTTTCTCAATAAAAGTAAACATGTTTTGTTATAAGAAAGAACTGATGGTCTATGTAATGTTTAAATACGAAGTATGTATTTGGGAATCAATTTTTTTTTCTTATGCTTAAGGTGCAGAAACAAATTCTTAAAGTGACTGAAACGATTTCTGCTCTAAAGATAAAGAGCGACCCTTTCAATTTTTCGTGTATCTGACATCAAAAGATGCTGCAATATATTTCTGATAAATAACACGACCGGCATCACTATTCGAGAAGATGAATTAGCGGTCTAGATGTTGTGTTGATCAGATTATCCTTTTCTGTGAAGTTTTCTTAATTTTTGTGGCTTTTTCTTCAACGTTTTGTATTTGCTGTGTGTGTCTTTTTCGTTTTGATAGTTTTGGTCTCATCTTACTAATATGTGTATACTTTAGCTGTTGCTGTTAATATTTTATCACGTCAGTTTGGTCAACCATCTTTCTAGAAACATTTTAATTGATCTATTTTGCAAGTGATATTTGTGACTAGATATCTAGCTAATTACTGATCATCAATAAAATACTATGAACAGTAAAAAAATGGGTTTTCTTCTGCTGTATAGCAGACTTGAACATTTCGTTAATCTTCTAGGATACCCGATGTATTCTATTTTTCCCTTTCAAAATTGTCAGACATTTAGAAACACGTTTAGATTAGTAATCATGTCTACCAAATGGGGAAACACCTGTGTTTCTTTTGTTCTATTGATTGTAATTGCTTTTATGAAATCCCAATGACTGACGCAAATACGGATTTTTAATGAACAATTCTACTAATGAAAAGAAATAAAGTTGCAATGTAAAAGGTGGATTTCTGAACGTGACAAGTAAACAAAACAAAATAAAAATTCCTATCAATAGCAAAAGTGATGTATACATCTTAATCAATTACAATTTCAGACGCAAAAGCGCAAATCAGGCATATGTCCTACCTTTACTGGAAAACCGGCGAGTTTTTGTATGCGAGCATTCGTTGTTTCTGATTGTGATGGTAATGACGATGACTGCTCAGGTATGTACTGTGTTCATTTTCAACCTACAGAATACAAATAATTTGTACAATGAAAGAAATAAACAGCGTGTGAAAATAGATAACATAAGCAATTTATATTTCAAATACAAAAAACATTTACTGATATTGCAAACCCGATAAACTTTAGTACAATTTTAGCTCGAACACCGACTGCGAATTTAAATGAGGACCACCATCAATAAGAATATTCACCAAAATAAGCCCGACAAAGTTCGCTTATTCCTCTCTATTCATTAATATAATCCTAATCACTATATAAACAAACAACTATGTAGAAAAAGAAAAAGTAAATGGCGTATAGACACTCTATAGAAAAAGCTCATAAGCTAAAATGACGGACAAGAATACAAACAATGACCATAGCACAAATCACAATAGCGGGATGTATTAATATCGAGCCACGCCAAAAGGATATTACAAAAAATAGACTAAACAGTTAAGGTTTAACTTAAACAAAGACAAAATACATGTACCACTTTAAAACGTAATTAGGATGATAAACAACGTCAGTACCTAGCACAATTAAGCGATATATAATTACAGGAGAACATATATATATTCCTATTGTCGTAGCCACAGTCCCCCTTCCTCTATCCCTCTATTACAACATCGTCAAATGTCCCTTATCACCAAATATTTACTTATCATGAGTAATACAACGGATGTCCTTGGCGGAAAATAACCTATATGAAATTCTTGAGCAGCACATAAGACAACCCTCTGTTTTAAGAGATTTGTATAGCAGTGTATATGTCAGTATTAAATTTGTATCGGGTTATGTAGACTATTGTTAGTTTTTTTGTCATTAGATTTTGATATCTTCAATTTCTTGTGAATCAAAGGCAACACCTGACAACAGTCTCCTGAATTGGGCGGTTGAAACAAATGAAACCTGATAAATGTTTTTTTTAAAGTGAACCAAGTTAAAATTATGACATTCAATTCGTTATTGTATGGGTATCTTAGATGGATGGATGAAAGTCTGTTTAACGCCAAGTGTCAATTATTGCATGCATATCATGACAAGTACATGTTGATATGATATGAATATGAACTAAGCCGACTATGCGGTATTGGTTTTGCTCATTGTTGAAGGTCATATTGTGACCTATAGTTGTTTACTTCTATATTATTTGATCTCTGGTGGAGATTTGTCTCATTTGCAATCATACCACACACTTCTTCTTATTTTTATATTTGTACTAGACCAACACGCTGATCCGTACTTTAAACGTGCTAGTTCACAAGATAACAACCCACAGAAAGATATATTACATTGCCTCATTCGAATTCCGAGACGACTGGTCTTTGCGCTTAATCTTAATGCCTCGTGCTAGGCTAATAAATATGAAAATCAGTAAACTTCTTTTGACCTGATAAATGTTCATGCAGAATGAGCCATCATTTGATCGAAAAGTATTCCACCTAAAATAGATAATTATATAATCATTGATTGTTTTATATAATTTGCAGTTCAGTTTGAATACAATCGTTCTCTCTTTTTTAAAGGTACTAAGAAATGCTGTCCAGATATATGCGGATCACGAAAGTGTAAAGAACCTGCACCAGCAAGTACTTTTAAAAAAAGAAAATCGCATTGTAAACGTTTAATTTGTTGATTTCTGGTTACATTTTCATATTATTGTATAGTAGCTATGATTGTTTACAGAATATAGAATACTAGGTAAAAAGCAAAAAATAAGAAGCACAACAAGAATAGTGAAACAAAAGACAAAATATAACGAATAAAGAATAATAGGGGTTTGCAATATAAGGAATAGAAAATGGTAATGGTAAATATGAATAAAAAAATAATAGGGCTAAATCCTCTAAAAACTATGCAAACCCGGAAAATTCCTTTGTGATGCGGTTGCTCGAGGTGGAATATCGGTTCTTTCTCACACAAAATTCTCTGGAAATTCAGTACTTTCTAAACTTTAAATAACTCTGTTGTTATATACCTTTTTATAAGGTACTCTATTTTTCAAATCAGCACACATTGTAAAGCCTAGTCACTTGTTAAAAAAAGAAGCATGTCCAGTATCACTGCATATGGATTTTTTAACACATTATATTTGCGTACCCCCGTTTGAGGCGCATACGGGCTATTGACCACTTTATGAAGTCAAATTTTGAAAGACAAACATTTTAGTCACGTTACATCCTTCGGGAAAAATATCTTCAAACAATTGGTTAACATGATAGATAAAACAAAGAGTTGACATTGTTTACGAATCCAGTAATGTTTAGAGGGTAGATGTTTGATTTGATTTTTATCCATCTGCTTGTCAATTTATTGTACATGTTGTAAACGGTCTCAGAGGAGTCTTGGTCACGAAAATTAAATATCTGTTTATTTTTCTGCAATGCATTTATTTAGGTATGGCAGTTGTAAATACATTCAATATGTATTTTTATAATGAGAGTAAAACGATTGGCATTAAAGGTAGACTATCTAGTATACTGAGTATTATGAAACTAAAATTTCTGCGAAAAATTAGCATATTGTGGATTACTATTCATTGGATTCAAATGTAAACCACGAGTCGAAAAAAAATCAAAAATTTAAAAATTGTCTATAGGAATGTATGCAGACTGCGTCAAAACGACGAAGTCAAGTATCCTCGAAATGTATCTTCTCCTCAATCCACAAAATTTAAAACTCACGAAAAAAAAAATGAATACACTGTAATATAAATAACTCAAATGAGTCAATTCAGATTGTTTGTTTTGATTTTCTGACTTTTTATAAAAATTAATATTGTAGAAGCCTCGACCAGAATGTCCGTCTTTCCAAAAAAACGTACCATGTTTGATTTACCAGCACGATTGTAGTCATGATAAAGAATGTCCCAAAGGTTAGTGCATTTAACTGTAGAACAGAAGTTATATGTTGAGGTCTAAATGCAAAACAACGTACATTTAAAGATTCAATCTGATTGAGACCGTCACTGAAAGTTAATATCAGGACATTTAAACGGATTGCAATGTGGTTTTAAGGTAATCATTTGTAAGTTAACTCATGCTACTGATTCAACTTAATCATTATTCGTCGCTGGATTAGGGAAATACAAAAGCATGCTACTAATCAGTGCATACAAAACAATTGGGATTATTATTCTAAGATGGCAATAAAAACATGATGTGAAAAAGATAAACAAAATCATTGTTAAATAAAATAGATGAATTAACAGACAATATTAGAAAAACCTACACATACAAATAATAACGAGTAACACGAATTCCGCCAACATCTAGCGTGAACTTATGTGCTCTTGAATGGTACGTAATTTCTGTTCTGCTAGTATAACAGTCAATCATTTAATCGCATTCGGTGATGTCATCAATGAGAAAAACACGGAATTATGGCATCAAAGTTGGAATATATGTGTGGTCATTAGTGAAACAGATATTCAATAACGGTTAACCAAATCATGAAAACGTCAGTAAAACTTTCAAAGATATTACTGCATATAACATCGTTACAATTGTCCTTGTCTAGAACCATGCCCTATGATAGAAAATGCAAATCTTGGGAAATCGTAAATATATCTTACGTCCGATACAAGTTTTGGTAGAAAGCTGCTTAATAAAAATGGAAAGTTTACAAATGTAAAGTAGAAATCACCTGTTAATTATAACATTAATTCGCAACTGACTCGGTAAATCATAATACAATTACATTATGTACATTCAAGACCAAAAGCTTGACAGCCAAAACACTTTGAATAGTCAGTGTGTCAAAGCGGAAAAGAAACTAATAAAAACTAAAATTGAGAATGGAAACAAGGAATGCGTCCAAGAGACAACAACCCGACCAAAGAGCAGAAAACAGCCCAAGACCACCAATGGGTCTTCAACACAGCGAGGAAATCCCGCACCCACAGGCGGGCTTCAGCTGGCTCCTAAACAATATTGTATACTAGTTTAGCGAAAATGGACGTTACAATAACTCCGAAATATATAAATGAACCGACATTAAAAAAACATACAAGACTAACAAAGTCAGAGGTTCCTGACTTGGAACAGGCGCAAAAATGCGGCGGGGTTTATATAAATAAGAAGATGTGGTATGAGTGCCAATGAGACAACTCTCCATCCAAGTCACAATGTGTAAAAAATAAACAATTATAGGTCAATGTACGGCCTTCAACAAGGAGCCTTGGCTCACACAAGCTATAAAGGGCCCCAAAATGACTAGTGTAAAACAATTCAAACAGGAAAACAAACGGTCTAATCTATATAAAAAACGAAAAACGAGAAACACTTATAAACCACATCAACAAACTACAACCACTGAACATCAGGTTATATATATACCATTAATTATAACAGTCTTTTCAAAAACTTGTTATTTTGAAACAGAGAAGAGAACATCCTTAAGTAAGGATGTTTCATGAATTCATAGGTTTTAGAATGTAAAACCAACGGTCTAATTTATATAAAAAACGAGAATCTGGAAACAGTTATGAACCACACCAACAAACGACAACCACTGAACAACAGGCTCCACGTTTTGTGAGATCTAAACCCTCCCCCTATACCTCTAATGTGGAATAAACAAACACACAGCAATATAAACAGAAAAATTCAGTTAAAAGGAGTCAGAGTCCGATGCTAGAATAGGTAACAGAAGAAACTAAGCAAAATGACAATAATCAACATAAATTAACGAAAGACTACTAGCAGTTACTCACATGCAAGCTTCAGACCTCAATTAAACTGATTGAAAGATTATGTCTTCATCATATGAACATTTAGCACAATCCCACCCGTTAGGGGGTTTAGTATCATACCATCATAAAATATACGATATAAGAACATAACCCGTATCATGCCAACAACTGGTTTCAGAATAATGGTGTTTATTTCCGATGCAAAATCCCTACGAGTGAATCAATCTTAATTCCAACAATATCATAACTATATCCTTTCTTAATAAGCCTGCATAAAGGTTTTGTTAGCTTTTGAGGTGAATGACGACATATTTGTGCTTTGTATAGAATATTAATTAATGTCATTATACCGATGATAAAATAAAATTTAGTAAATGTTTTGACAAGTTTGTGATATCGAAAACCCTGGTGTAATAATTTTTCGTTAAAATCGAATACGTTGTTATATGTACGAGCGAATCGAACAATTTGGGATATATAAACGCCATAAGATGGAAATAAATAATCATCTCTTTTATCCTGAATTTTAGTATTAAGTTTTCCGTTAAAGTTATAGATATTAAGATCCAGGAAAGGGCCGTGTTCATTGTTAGTATTAGCTTTATTTAAAGTCAGTACAGCAGGATAAAATCTCTTTAGTTTACATACTGAAGTCGTCATTGTTGTTTTTGTATCAGAGATTATTTCAATGGCTCTTGCGCCTACATATTTTATGATCACCTTTGATAAAGAGGTAAACATAAAAAAAATGTGAAATCTATTACTACTTTTGGTGTTCTATTTCAAACGGTTAACATGATGTTTTGTTCGATGTTTTTACAAACTAAATAAGTTAAATTTTATATGTATGATTTATATTTACACGACTTTGCCTGTTCGATCCTAATTATTGTCACGTTAATCAGTTATGGGTTGTTCACACTATTTGTGTCGCTATAATGTTTTTATAGTCAACTTTCATACTAGTGGAAGTTTAAGCTAGCTGTAAAACCAGGTTAAACTCACCATTTTCTTCCTAAAGTACAAGTACAAAGTCAGAAAATTGACCGTTTTTTTTCCAGCCGTTCCTCTAAATGATATAATTGACGCTTTGGTAATTCAGTTTAAATTAACTTTGCCCTTTTTTAATTGTTTTTGGATGCATGGTATCGGTGTTTTCGTTTTAAATTTTGCTTTCTCTGTTAAAATATTTGAATGATATTGACATTGCTATATGGAGACCTAATATTGCTATACGATTACTGTCAACACGAACATTCCTCTACTTTAACAGGGAATTATTGATTACAAGTATTTTGAATAATGTTGATACACCGGTACACTGATATATTCTTAAACTTGCTTGTCTTGTACGCATAAAACTGCGTATAGAGTTGAATAGACATTTTATTATTAATGAAAAATTCAAACGGAAATGGAAAGCAAAAATGTCTAGTGACGACACTTTTTCTTAGGACACTGTTACTAGTCCCATCTCATCTATTCACCAACTTGTCATAATTGGCAGCTAATGACAAGGTGAATAACAGTCTATACAGTTAAAGATCTATTTTTTCTTAGTCTAATTGATGTGACCTTTATCGAAAAAATCGTAAATAAATCAATGTTTTGAGTGATATTGTTTCAGGTCAAATATGTTGTGGTGTCATTTGCGGAATAGGATGTGCAAACCCTGTGCAACCGAATGTGAGTAAATATAATCCAAAACTGGCTTGCATAAATGCATTCAAAAATTAGATGAATAGTACGAACGGACAATAAAGTCTTTCATCAAAATCCCAGAAGTCAGTTTTGTTTTGTTGACAAAGTTTTACTGTTCATAGATTGTTAAATTCATGGTAAACAATATGATTTTCTCCCAACAAGTCAGATTTTGAATGACATAGAGTGCTTGGTTTTCAATGTCCTTCCACCCCATTACTGAATTGTGCTTATAATCTTTTAAATCGAGCGCCACTGGTATCTTTGGGTAAAACAAATTCTGTTTCTTTAACGTTGAAGGTAGACATAAATAAGTTTAGGTATAGAAAAGGTGGAAATTCTTCAAAATATCTCATTAAAGTTTGACATCTGCTTGTGATTATGTTTCCCCTCCAGTTTTGTTTTAAACAGTTTTATAATTAAATTGTTTCGATGGCCGAATTGTTCACCCTCTTTGTCTACGGTATCACTAATTTAACAACACAGAGTTAGAAGGTTCGAACCCCGCAAGTTGCAGATTTTTTCGATTACGATCTTAATTGATTAGGTTTGCCATATTTCCTGCCGAATGTCGGTGGTTCTCTTCAGCCATCCCAGCTTCCTCCACAAAAACAAACTGGACTCCACGTTGGAACTAAGAGTGTTCGGCGGGGTATCAAATACCACTAATTAATAATAAATCAATAAAAACTAACTAGTGTCAGAAAAGTTTTTTTTTCTAGGAAATATCTATTTTCTATCGAAATATTTTATTGAAACATGCTTTTGTTCTATATTTTTTAGACTGAAATACATCCCCGAAGTAAAACAATATAAAAATGAGGACGTGGTATGAATGCCAATGAGACAACTATCCACCAACGTTCAAATGAAATGGATATAAGCAATTAAAGGGAAACGTACGGCCTTCAACAATGAGAAAAATCATACCGTAAAGTCGGTTTTTTATATAAAATATCTCGAAACGAAAAAATTGAAACAATTCAAATGAGAACATGTATTACACTTTGCCATTTGTAGATTTTCCAGATCTAATTGGGATGTTGGTTTGATGTAAGAAGTCGTGTTTGTTTTGTTCACATATTGTTGTCAATATAATGTAATTTTATACGACTGTCATACAAGTGAGAGGTTCAGCTAGCTTTAAAACCAGATTTAATCCACCATTTTCTACATAAGGAAATGCCTGTACCAGGTCAGGAATCTGACAGTGGTTTTCCATTCGTTTGATGTGTTTGAGCTTTTGATTTTGCCAATTGTTAAAGGACTTTCCGTTTTGAATTTTCCTTGGATTTCGGTATTTTTGTTGTTTTACTTTTTTATAAAATATGTACATCAGTATATTAATTGTGTGTATATATTTACGAAAATTCGTCATGTTTAGAAATGAGCATCATCATGATCATGACATATTATATATGACTCTTTAAATAGTCGGGACTTTTCTTTGATCAACACTGAGTACGGTAGGTCTTCTTTTTCCTCAAATGTTCATTGTAAAAGGTGTGTTGTCATACAGAATATACATTCGATATAACTTTTTTAAAGCCGCCAAAAACCAGGCAGGGGGTTTGTCCATCAGTTCCAGAAGACGATCCCAACATTTGTAATCTTGTAGATGTAAGAAATGACTGCCAAGTTGACTCAGATTGTACAGAAAGTAGGTACAAATATCACTATCTGTCTCTTTAATTCCAGCTAAAAAGCACCTCCCTTTCAATCACAAACAGGTAAAATGACAAAAATAACAAAACCAGACATACATGTAATAAATCAATAATAAAAACCACCAAAACACGAGTGCATGGTTGGTTTTCTATCTTAATTAATTCTAAGGTCACAAATCCAATGTCAATTTAATTAGCCAAAATTATATTCGAACCCATCAAATAATGAATCTTTATAACAGAGAAAATATGCGTCGTCTTAGTAACAACAACACTGTAACAATAACTAAGAAAAGTTAACATGTGAGGTAAATATTTCAGTTGTTTTGTCCTCATAATGCATTGTTACTATCTTGAGTATTGACCAGACACTCACATTTGTATCATAAGTTGTATGGTTGCTACTGACCCCCTACGGATCCATAGAGGGTTAGTAAAATCCATAGGGGGTGAACCGTATAACGAATATATCGTAGACGGGACTTTTCCAGCTAAGTTATGTATAAAAATAAGCAATGAAACATAATAACATTAATCGATGACCTCACCATCAATAGATAAAGTGACGTCATGAACCCCATATGAAATCTACTGACCCCTTATGTGTCCATAGAGGGCACCACGTGACGGTCTTAAACAAATCATAACGTCAAAATTTATCCGAGTTGCGATAATATCATATATTTCAATTTCATTGTTTTTTCTTATGTTTATACAATGTAAGCAATCACAGAAATGGTATAAATGGCTAAACAGACAATAGTCAATGTTATGTTTAAAAAACTCTTACAGATAATGAGAAGAAGGAGACAACAGCGAGTCACTTTAAAAGATGTCACACTCCATGCGCGTTTTAACCTCTGTTTATTAACAACAGATTTTGCGGCAAAAGTCAATGAGACAACAACAAAACGATACACATAGGCCCCTGTTTATTAACAACACATGTGGGGATATTGGTCATTTCTCCCGTTGTTCTTTATTGTCCTTTCAAAATAAACTGTTTTCAGTTCTTTATATGCTATGAAGAGGTTTGTGCACTGTTTGTCTTGGGTGTTTTCTGTCTTCCTCGGCGTTTGGTATACGTATGTATTTAACACATTCTTTTTTAAAAGTCGGTATCATACGTCGGTAACTTATCTTATCTTTTTCATTGCAGGAAATCAAAAATGTTGTAGGACACAATGTGGAGGACGATCGTGCTCTAATCCTATAAAGGTATGTTTCTGTTTTTTTAAGATTTGAAGAGTATAAGAATAAATGCATTATATATATTACACACACACACACACACACACATAAGAGTATAATTGAGTTAAAATCAATCATCACGTACGCTAGGGATCAAGTGATTAGGATCAAATAAATGCATCATCTTTACAGTTTTCAAAACCACAAAAAGGCCTGTACAGAAAAGAAAATGTCGTAAATAGTAAATTTTTTTGAGAAAGTTTTAACTTAACTACTTTTAGATTATTAAAAGAATTGCTTATTATTACATCATTTAAAACATGCTGTTTGTTTTAAATCCTATATAGGGTGATCGTCCCGGATGTCCAGTGTGTTTCAACAACCAGCCGGGTCCAGTATGTCCCGTGTGCTTTCAATATCAGCAGCTGTGCAACTCAGACAAGGATTGTAAACGAGGTAAGTGAATTGTATCAAGAATCCCTGACATCCATAAACATGTAAAATGAGCAACAATATTTGGATAGAAGCCTAATTACTAAAATTGTACACATACTCTTTCTCTCTGAACCTTAATTCCTTTAACTTGTCAAACTATGTGAAAAGAAGATTTTGTATTGAAAAACTTTCTCCGTCAGTAAAGGTGGAAAACATGATGAACATATTTGGCCTACAGTCATAAAGGATAACCTTGATCTTTGAACGTAATGACATTTCTACTTTTGGCAAGAAAACTTTCCTGAGAAAGAACGTAAAATTGTGATATTCAACGTCGAAAAAGATCGATAAGAACATCATATGGCACTTGGATGTTTTCTCAATCTCTTTACCGATTTCTTTATCCTTGTATTGTCTCTATTTTCATCCTCATAGGAGGGTGTGTCGTAAAAATTTATGATCTTGATTGTTTACCCTGTTGATGTATTATTACGATATTTGACATTTTGGTATAATGATGTGTGGCATGATATCCTGGCTGACGTATGAACGTGACTTTTAACATCAGGTTAGAGACTTTAATTATTTGTGTAGCGTATCAATTAGCTTAACATATAGCGGTATATTTGCCTTTAGTTGGACCTTAAGAAAACTGTTCAGTTCATTCAAAAAACATTAGATATGAAATGTATGTTGTAAAATAAATTTGAAAAAAAACATAAAAAAAACCAAAAAAAACAAGTCATACATTTGATTAGTTTTCATCGATTAACGTCACATTGAAAATATGTCATGCATGATAAGGGTGAAAACCTATGTTGATAATAAATGTATCAATTATATTTGCCACGAGACAATCCTAAGTGATAGAACAATTACAAAATTCTTCAATGAATATGTGCATCCTTTTAAAAGACAACTTGAAAAAAACACAGCAACCAAATCGGTTTCATTTACATAATTCAGTACTTATTATTGGCTTGTCTTATTTGTATATTATAATTTTCCAGGTCAGCTTTGTTGTTTCAACCCTTCCTGTGGTACATCATGTGAAAGGACATTTGGTCGATGAAATTATCCTGTACTGGTATCCAAATGATCCAATGAAAAACCTCACAACATTTATGAGCTTACGTTTCATTTATTCAATTATGACTCAACTAATTTGGTCAATTATAAACATAAAGAATAATTTAGAAGAGAACGTCTTTCATTGATACGTTACAGTCATTGGATGGTGTTAACTCTCACTTACACCATACATCTTATACAATTACACCATACACCATTGCACCATACAGCATTCTCCATACACCATACACCATTCCCCTTGAACCTTACCATTTTAAATCATACAAGAAATGCCTCATTTTAATTTACCGACAATGCAACATGCTTGCGGGAATTGCAATGTTCAGTATATATCTTAGAAAACGAACTATGATGATGATGATCTTTTTCTTTTTTTTTTTTTTCTTTTTTTTTTGCTTATATCTCTAAAATAAGGCAGAAAGAGCAGACACACATACAAAATTAAAAATGGACAGCAGGTAAAGGTTTATCTCCTTCGCAGTTTTCTGTAAATTTGGACAACCCATTTCGGAGTTGTATCCCTTGAAATATAAAGTGTTTGCATATTTCGAGGTTTTTAGGTCATTATCTTGAAAACAGACAGAGATAATTTTTGAACAATAAAAAATCACCAGCTTGTAATTCAGTGGTTATCGTTTATTAATGTTTATAATATTTGTTCGTCAGTCATTGTTTTTTTTACAAACATGTCAGTTAGGCCGTTATTTTTTTGATTGAAATTGATTTACATTTTTACATTTGTCATTTTATTTTTTGTCTGTTATAGCTTGGTGTGCGATATGGGTTTTTCTTATTATTGAAATTCGTACGGTGACCTATAGTTACATACGTGTACGTCAATTGGTCTCAGGTGGAGAGTTGTCTCATTGGCAAGCATACCTCATCTTCTCATTTTGATTTTTAAATGTACAAATAAGTGCTCTTGGCAGATATCGTCAATTGACACATTATGGGAATTATCGCCTTGAAATAATGATTTTTACACTTTTTTGCATTAATTGCAAGATATTGTAGATAGAGAGAAACTTTCAGTAGTAAACATATTCAGCAAAATCAGAATCAAACATTGGTTAACATAGATGAAATTGTTAGTGTAGCCCTTATAGGAATTAAAACCCTTGAATGATTTTGTTAACCAACTTTTGCGTTTTCTGTAGAAACTATAATAAAAAACTATAAGAAAAAATATCAAAAGCAAATATATTTAGAAATTGAACCATGAAAGGAGTTATTGCCCTTGAAAGAAAGACGAGTTGTATGCATCTTAGCAGAAACCATAATCTATTTTACTGTTGTCTTTATTTCTATTTTTGCCCTATATTATCTATGGGTTGCCTATTATTCTACTGTCTGTTGACCCATACAGATCCTCGGGTATTTTTATGCCATTTAACCTTTGATGGATGTTATTTGAGTTAATTGTTAAAGATTGTTAGTAAATTAACAATTTGTTTAATGTTAGCATTATATCAACGTCTATGCAGTTTCTGGTTATCTATCGAAAAATCGTTGTCTAAAAAATCTGTGGCGTTTGTCAGTCCGAAGGAACACTAGTTCTTTACTAAAATACGCTTCTTATTGATTCTAATCGATTTAATTTGTAGTCGGTGGAGTTGGGTCTTCTTCTGTATTCTTTAATTTTTAAGCCATAATTATCTATTCTTGATATTTAAGCAACCCAATCATTTCTCATTATTGTTATTTTTTTTTTCTGTTATTTTGTCCTTCATTCTCTAATTTTATCAATTTTTGTATATGTTGTCAAACCAAACCAGCATCATATATTTTTTTCTAGGAAAAGCTACATACAGATATATGAATTTGATATCAGAATGTGAATTCTTATTATTGCGATACTCAAGTAGTCGCATTATTCGCATTAATAAAAACATCGCAATAATTTCTGATTCTACAGTATTTGAAATTTGGTCTATTATCGTATGACATTTGGCCTATTATCGTATGACATTTGGTCAATTATCGTATGACATTTGGCCTATTATCGTATGACATTTGGTCTATTATCGTATGACATTTGGCCTATTATCGTATGACATTTGGTCTTTTATCGTATGACATTTGGTCTATTATCGTATGACATTTGGCCTATTATCGTATGACATTTGGTCTATTATCGTATGACATTTGGCCTATTATCGTATGACATTTGGTCTTTTATCGTATGACATTTGGTCTATTATCGTATGACATTTGGCCTATTATCGTATGACATTTGGTCTATTATCGTATGACATTTGGCCTATTATCGTATGACATTTGGCCTATTATCGTATGACATTTGTCTGGAATAATCAAAGTTTAAATTCAAAATAATGTTATCAAAGATCATGTTATAGACGTGGGGTGATTGAGAGCCTGACGTCTTGTATGGGTAGGTATAAGATATGTTATCAAAGATCATGTTATAGACGTGAGGTGATTGAGAGCCTGACATGTTGTATGGCTAGGTATAAGATATATTATCAAAGATCATGTTATAGACGTGGGGTGATTGAGAGCTTGACATGTTGTATGGCTAGGTATAAGATATGTTATCAAAGATCATGCTATAGACGCGGGGTGATTGAGAGCCTGACATGTTGTATGGCTAGGCATAAGATATGTTATCAAAGATCATGTTATAGACGTGGGGTGATTGAGAGCCTGACGTGTTGTATGGCTAGGTATAAGATATGTTATCAAAGATCATGTTATAGACGCGGGGTGATTGAGAGCCTGACATGTTGTATGGGTAGGTATAAGATATGTTATCAAAGATCATGTTATAGACGCGGGGTGATTAAGAGCTTGACGTGTTGTATGGGTAGGCATAAGATATGTTATCAAAGATCATGTTATAGACGCGGGGTGATTGAGAGCCTGACATGTTGTATGGGTAGGTATAAGATATGTTATCAAAGATCATGTTATAGACGTGGGATGATTGAGAGCCTGACATGTTGTATGGGTAGGTATAAGATATGTTATCAAAGATCATGTTATAATCGTGGGGTGATTGAGAGCCTGACATGTTGTATGGGTAGGTATAAGATATGTTATCAAAGATCATGTTATAGACGTGAGGTGATTGAGAGCCTGACATGTTGTAGGGCTAGGTATAAGATATGTTATTAAAAAGATGTTATAGACGTGGGGTGATTGAGAGCCTGACATGTTGTATGGCTAGGTATAAGATATTTTATCAAAGATCATGTTATAGACGCGGGGTGATTGAGAGCCTGACATGTTGTAGGGCTAGGTATAAGATATGTTATCAAAGATCATGTTATAGACGCGGGGTGATGGAGAGCCTGACATGTCGTATGGGTAGGTATAAGATATGTTATCAAAGATCATGTTATAGACGCGGGATGATTGAGAGCCTGACATGTTGTATGGGTAGGTATAAGATATGTTATCAAAGATCATGTTATAGACGTGAGGTGAGTGACAGCCTGACATGTTGTATGGGTAGGTATAAGATATGTTATCAAAGATAATGTTATAGACGTGGGGTGATTGAGAGCCTGACATGTTGTATGGGTAGGTATAAGATATGTTATCATTGATCATATTATAGACGTGGGGTGATTGACAGCCTGACATGTTGTATGGCTAGGTATAAGATATGTTATCAAAGATCATGTTATAGACGTGAGGTGATTGAGAGCCTGACATGTTGTATGGGTAGGTATAAGATATGTTATCAAAGATCATGTTATAGACGTGGGGTGATTGAGAGCTTGACATGTTGTATGGCTAGGTATAAGATATGTTATCAAAGATCATGTTATAGACGTGGGGTGATTGAGAGCCTGACATGTTGTATGGGTAGGTATAAGATATGTTATCAAAGATCATGTTATAGACGCGGGGTGATTGAGAGCCTGACATGTTGTATGGGTAGGTATAAGATATGTTATCAAAGATCATGTTATAGACGCGGGGTGATTGAGAGCCTGACATGTTGTATGGGTAGGTATAAGATATGTTATCAAAGATCATGTTATAGACGCGGGGTGATTGAGAGCCTGACATGTTGTATGGCTAGGTATAAGATATGTTATCAAAGATCATGTTATAGACGTGGGGTGATTGAGAGCCTGACATGTTGTATGGCTAGGTATAAGATATGTTATCAAGTATCATGTTATAGACGCGGGGTGATTGAGAGCCTGACATGTTGTATGGGTAGATATAAGATATGTTATCAAAGATCATGTTATAGACGCGGGGTGATTGAGAGCTTGACATGTTGTATGGCTAGGTATAAGATATGTTATCAAAGATCATGTTATAGACGCGGGGTGATTGAGAGCTTGACATGTTGTATGGCTAGGTATAAGATATGTTATCAAAGATCATGTTATAGACGCGGGGTGATTGAAAGCCTGACATGTTGTATGGCTAGGTATAAGATATGTTATCAAAGATCATGTTATAGACGTGGGGTGATTGAGAGCCTGACATGTTGTATGGGTAGGTATAAGATATGTTATCAAGTATCATGTTATAGACGTGGGGTGATTGAGAGCCTGACATGTTGTATGGGTAGATATAAGATATGTTATCAAAGATCATGTTATAGACGCGGGGTGATTGAGAGCTTGACATGTTGTATGGCTAGGTATAAGATATGTTATCAAAGATCATGTTATAGACGCGGGTGATTGAGAGCTTGACATGTTGTATGGCTAGGTATAAGATATGTTATCAAAGATCATGTTATAGACGCGGGGTGATTGAGAGTTTGACATGTTGTATGGCTAGGCATAAGATATGTTATCAAAGATCATGTTATAGACGTGGGGTGATTGAGAGCCTGACATGTTGTATGGGTAGGTATAAGATATGTTATCAAAGATCAAGTTATAGACGCGGGTTGATTGAGAGCCTGACATGTTGTATGGGTAGGTATAAGATATGTTATCAAAGATCATGTTATAGACGTGGGGTGATTGACAGCCTGACATTTTGTATGGGTAGGTATAAGATATGTTATCAAATATCATGTTATAGACGTGGGGTGATTGAGAGCTTGACATGTTGTATGGCTAGGTATAAGATATG